GAAAGCCTTCCCTGACCCCAAGGTGATTAACTGTCCCACCCTCACCTCCAGGCCTCCACAGTTTCCCTTGCTTCATTCTCTGACACTGTGTGGGTCACTGCGTATGGCCATCTTGTGTATACCCCCTAGTCCCACTTCCTCAAAGGCAGGTCCCAGGGCCGACCGACCTGTGCGCAGCCCAGGGTCTAACTCACAGGAGGCGCTCCATCAACAAGCTGAAGGGTCCCCACCGTGCTGAAGCTTCCTGGATGCCCCAGAGCAGAGCCTGCCACTCTCCACAGTGCTGGGGACCTGTTGTGCAGCGTCACACAGGATAGATGACAGGGACTACCTTTGGTGCCACAGGTTGGTTTACAAAGCACTTCCCATTCACGCTCACTTTCTTGAGGGTTTGAGATTTCTGAGCCTATATTACAGGGGGAGTGAGATCCCCAGAAGGGAAGTGAGCTGCCGGTCAGGTCCCGGAGGGAAGCCAGGGCTGGAATTCTAGCTCTCTGGCTTCTAAGCCCTGGAAGCAATGAGGGGGACCATGGTGAGCCAGGCTCCACCCACTTCGCACTCAGCCCTAGAGCCAGCTTGGGCTGAGACTGGGTGTCTCCAGGGCAGGGGGCAGCTGCAGCCCCAGCACAGGCAGACCCAGAGGAGGCCCGGGGAAGAATGAGGAATCACACAGAGCTTCCTGCCAAGAGGGACAGAGCAGCTCTCAGGAGGGATGAGGACCCATTAATGATTCATTCACTCAACAAATATTTGCTGGTCACCTACCACCAGGCACTGCACTGCAGGCCCGAAGGTACAACACTGAGAAGGACAGACAAGGTTCCTGTTCCCAAGGGCTGACATTCTTATGGAGAGACAATGACCTAAACAGACAATGACCTCCACATAATAATTTACATAATGATAAGGATTATAAAAAAATAAAACACGATGTGGGGAGGCCACTAGGGGGGCAGCTTTCTAGATGCATGGTCCGAAAAGGCCTATGAGGGGGGCTGAAGAGTAGGAAGCCAGCTGTGCAAAGATGTGGGCAGAAGGGCAGCGAGGCGGGGCTGAACTGGTGGGGATGCTGCAGGGACGGGAAGACCGCCGGCCATTCCCGAGCACAGCGTGGGAGGTGAGGAGGCCACGAAGCAGTGGAGCTGCTCGCACGGGGCTTCATGGCCACAGGGAGGAGTCTGAGAGGTTCAAAGTGGGATGAGGGGCAACTGGCAGTCCGCCTGCCGTCCATGCTCCGAGGGCTCGTGGAGGCGCCACCCATCAGGGCGAACTGCAGTGGGAGGGCTTCCTCAAAAAGCCCGGGAGGGGTGGCCTGCCACCCACATCATGAAAACTGGAAGCAGCTGAGCACCTACAATGGCCAGAGCCCTGTGCTCAGCCCTTTGCTGCCTCACCACACTTCCCTCTTGGTTTAAGGGGGCAAGTCACAGACAGGAGATGGGCTTGGGTTCTAACCCTGGCTCTGATAACTCCAGACCAGAGCCCCCTCTCTGGGGCACTCACTGTCCCATCTGTAACTTAAGGTCTGGGCCAGATCCACTGTTAACAGATAGTTATGCTTTTATGACTCAAGTATTGCTACTGTATTTGGAGGTAGGAGGAGGGGGGTGGGGCAGGATTTCCACACTGGTACTGACTCACCCAGCCTGCTAGTAAATATTACTCTCGGACCTTCTTTCCCAGCCCAGATGAGCCACTGGCATCACAGATAACCCAAAAGTGGCCTCTGTGCAGTGGGGAAGTTGGACAGGGGAGGGGAAAAGCTACAGCAAATTAGGGAAGAAGAGAACATCAGAATGACGTTCTCATCCTACAGTTTAGGACTGAGTTAGGTAACCGTACCACGCCTCGGTTCCAGAGTTACCCCCCAACAATCTAGCCTCTTAGTCTTACCTCCCCACCAAGTGCCTGCCTGCAACCCCACCCCCCGTGATGGGGAGCTTCACCCCCACCCACACTGAGCCTGCAGCAGTCCTTAACAGCTATTAGAAAGAATTCCTCCAATACGGCAAAATCATTATGAGCCCATAAACCCACCCCTGTGCCAGGCCTTGCTGTTTGAAACCATACACAACAATCAGCTCAGAACGTCACTGGGGCGGTCACCGTCTCATGCTGGGTCATGGGTTGAACCCTAGGGACAGAGGCAGGCATTAGAGGGCTCTGACTAGAAGAGCCTCCTGTCCAGGGGCGAAGGCAGGGATGCAAATGTGCCTAACTCTACAGCCTTCACCCCAACACAGGACAGTCCTTCAGAGATTAATCAACACAGACTCCCGCCTCCCTCCTGACAGACACCCGCCCACCCATGCTCCCATAGCTGGCCTTTTCTTGTGGTCAAGAAATCAGGCACCAAGGTGTCTATTCAATCTCTCACCCATTGCAGGACTTCCCTTCACAGAATCCATGGTCTCTCCTTGAATACTGCCACTAACAGGGTGTTCACCACCTCACAACTGTGGCACCTTATCTACAGAGGCAAACCGGGACACTGGAGAGTGTTGTCAAGGGCCAAGGAGGTAGAAAGCAGGTCTAATGGAGATATCTAGATAACACAAAATTTGCTTCAGCACCCTCCCCTACTCCACCCAGTCTTTCATCAAAGCAGATCCCAGAGAGCTAAATTGATTGGCTCGTATTTCATACCAGCCCTTGCTACATCCCATGATGGAATTCTTTGCAGCCAATTAAAAAACAAAAATAAAACAAAAACCAGTGTTTTCAAGATCTGATAACAACATGGGGAAAATGCTCCTAATATGATATTAAGTCACTTGGTCAAAATCATGCCCTAGAAGTCCTCCTAAATAACGAACTCTAGGTCAAAAGCATGAGAGCCAGGGGCCCTGGCCCCTGGAAGACATGGTTCCCAGCCTGCGGGGAGCAAGATGAGGGAAGGGGATGACCAGGAAGGACCAGCACAGAGAGCATCCCTGGCCCATTCCCTGGAGCCAAGAGCATTTTTTAAAGCCTGAATATGGGTAAGTCCCTTCCTCCCCTTCTTATGGGCCCCCAAAGGGCACAGTGAACAGACCAGCACTCTTAAGTGAGAGAAGAGGCTGTCAGAGGCTACTGGGCCGGGCGCACTGGGCAGCTTAAGCTGCTTGCCCCTCCAGACGGCAACGGCAGTGCAGTACCTCTCCAAGAGCAAGCAGCACCCAGACCAAGAGGGCAAGCAGTCATAGCGACAATCTCACAGGGAACGACAACGCCCAGGACACAGTTAACCTGTGACACTGCTCCACAGTGATACAGCCACCAGAATATTGTGTGTGATTTTGAGTAACAGAAGGAAATAATCACAATGTAGCGTCGAGAGGGAGGAAACAGGCTCCAGAATCTATGTACAGCATGCCCTCGACTTTACCTATATAATGTGTACAAACAAAAGTATAAAGAATGTACTAAAATGGCAACAGAGAACTATCTTTGGATAGTCGATACCAGCAATTTAAATTTTCATCCTGTTTTTCTATGCTTCTCAAAATTCCAATAATTAACATGCTTATTTTTATAATGAAGCTAGATGGAATAGGGGATTGTTAGTTGCTAAAGAAAAATCCTGAGTAGGACAGGTTCAGCAAGCAGAATAAAGACTTGCGGGGAGGGAGTGAGGCAGGGAGGGAGGGTTCAAGCAAGACAGACACTCAGACCAGGACAGCTATGTTGACTTCCCAGAGTCTCCTGGACTTGTGTTTAATCCCCTCCTTAAGGCCTTTGTTAAAGATACCTTAAGCAAGTCCTGTACTTCTCCAGCCGCACCTGTGGGGGTGGGGTGTGGGAGGGGGAAGGGAGGATCTGCCTCCAGGGGGAAAGCTCTGGAATTTGATCTCAGCTCTGTCCCATTCACCCAGGGTCCTCTGCCCACTTTTACATGTGCCAGGCTCACAGTTGCTTCTGAGGGGGCTCCAGAGCCTGAGCTGGAGGATGGATGTTGGACAGAGGACAGTGCCGGCACACGGGTCCCGTCAGGCACGTCTCTGTCTGGTGGCTGTTTCGGTTGAGTGCAGAAGCCTTGTGACTCTGCCCCAGCCAGTCTCTCCCCTTTGCTCCCTCAAGTGAGGAGAAAGGGGAGGGGGTAACTGCTAGGGGTCACCAATAATGCTGGGGGCTGGAGAGTTGTCAAATATCATCCCTATTTCACTAATGAGAAAAACAGGCTGGGGCAAGGAAAGTGATGTAAGAGCGGATGCAAATATTGATGCGTGCTAGAGTGGAGAATGAACCCAGACGTGACTACCATGCCAAACTGCCTGGATCAGGCCAGGTAACCATTATTCTTCCCTCATCCCAGACCCAGGTGATCTGCGAGGAAGGGGCGGGGACGGGAACGACAGGCTTTCCCAAAAGAAAAGGGGATAAGACCTTAACCTGCACCGTGGCCAGTCCTCCAGCAGCACACCCTCATTATAAGAACACAATCCTGCTGGTCGTTAGAGCCCTTCATCACAGCTTTTTCCGAAAACCTTCTTGCAGCTTCGTAGCCCCAGGACGAGAAAGCCCGAAAACCCACGCAGACCCCTTGGTGGTGACAATTTATATCTCCCATACTCTCATCACCCCATCGCCGAGACACCTCACGTGACAGCACAGACCCTTCCATTCCAGCCCTCACTATGGGCCGCTCAGGCGGGTGCTCACCTCGCAGGACCCCGGAATACGCGGCTATGAGGGTCTTCATGCTGAAGCCGGTGCAGGTAAAGGCCGTGCGGGAAGCCGCCTTACCCTGCGCCCCTGGCCCATGCCCCGGCCGCCGGGGCCAGGGGTTCGCGCCGAGGACTGGAGCCGAGGAACGGCGCTGACGCCGGCGCTGCTACGGCTGCACCGGAGCTGGCGGCTCTCGGCCCTCGGCGGTGGGAGGAGCAGCCGAACTCGAAGCTCTAGCCGTGGCCACTGAGCTCGTGATTCGGAGCGCCGCATTTTATAACCTCACAACGGGGCGGGGCCCGGTGAAGGCGGGGGCGGGGCTGGGGCCGGCGTTCCAACCCCGGCACGTGCCACTTCCTCCTGAGACCTGCTCCGGCTCTGCTCTGCTGGCCCCCAGCTTGGCGGGGATGAGCCGGCAAGCGGGCTAGGGGTGGAGGTCAAATCATTGCAAGAGGTGAGTCTGCGTCCTGCTGCGTCCTGTATCCGCTCCTCTGACGCTCTCTTGCGGAGATTGGTACCGCCTGGCTGCTAGACCGTAAACTGGCAGGTGGGAACCGAGCCTGTGCAGGGGGCAAGCCAAGGGCATGTGACCCGGGTGTTGTGTTTTAAGTCTTTTGACAAGGCCGGTCCTTGGCTATAGATGCCGCGGCCCCGTCTCTTGTCGGGATCAGGGATTAGGTACGTTAGGGTTGGTTGGGCTCCTAAACCACCCCAGCTGCCTCTAACTTTCCTTCCATCTCTTTGTTAAGAAACCGCACAGAGCATCTACCTGTGCGCTGCTGAGGGCCGGGATCCAGACCAGCCAGCCCAGGCCCTGCACTTGGGACGCTCACGTGGGTGATGACGGTGGGGGTGGGGAGGTGTTGGTTGCACAAACATGCTGGCGGCAGTTCTGGGGAAAGAGAGAAGTCCCTGCCTTGGGACTAGGTGCACTTCCCAAAGAGGTTAGTGCACAGCAGCTTCGGAATCGGATAAACCTGGCGTCCAGTTCTGACCCTACCTTTCTCAAATCTCAGTTTCCATATTGGTCAAAGGGGAATAAAAACAATTATTTTTGTGAGGTGTTTTGAGAACTAGGAGAGGTTAGGTATGAAAACAGCCTAGCATAATGTCGGGCGCACAGAAAGGGTTCCAAAATTATTTTCAGTGTACGCGGATGAGTAGTATTGTAGATGGAAGGTGGAGGAAGGACAGGCAGGATAAAACCTTAGAAAGGCCAGCACACTGGGGGCAGCGCTAGGGCACCTGAAGTGGGCGGAGCTCAGGCAGCGGTGGACAGGAGGCTGGGCTTGATCTGATGAAAGTCCTCGAGTGCCACTCTTGGGATGTTGGGGTGGGAGTGGAGTTTTGGGAATGGCTTTGAGTAGGGAAATGACAGGTGGTCAGATGAGTGTTTTAGAGCCTTCCAACCATAACTGGAATGGCTGGGAAGGGCTGGAGACCAGAGGGCAGTGGGGAGCTGTGGCAGGGACCCAGGTCAGAGGGGCTGAGCCCCGAGCTGGGGCGGTGGTGGAGGGAACAGAGCGAAAGGCCCGGTCTAGAGACAAGTGCAAGAGGCCGTGAGCTCGATGGGACTGTGGTGAAATGACTTATTGGATGTTGGGGGTGAGCGGAGGGGTGGGGGCAACAAGCACGTCAGTGAAAAGACATTTCTTGGGCACAGTTTGAGCAAGGCAGTGTGGGGTAACAGCCTAAGAGAAGGGGGAGTGTCTGCTGTTGAGACCTTTACCACCTCAGGGGGAGGAGTATGACAGAAGCCACAGTGCCAAGGCAGCATGTGGCAAATGCCACTGATGGGACTTAGAAACACTTCTATTTGTTCAACCCTTTCAGGGCCATAGAAGTAAACTTCTATGAGAAAACATCATTGAACTCTGAGGCATAAGTTGATGAGGAGGAGAAGAAAAACCATCTAGGTAGAACATGTGGTGAGGCTCTGAGGCTGAAAAGCCTTTGGTGCCTTTAAGGAAACTAAGGGAAGGCTAGCAGCATAGCAGATCTGTGTGGTCATGGGGTTGGAATGTGCAAAGGCCCGGAGGTAGGAACAGGTGTATTTCTGGGTAAAGAGTGCAGCCAGGTGGATGCTGAAGATGCCACTGGGTTCCTGCATCCTCTCCCCAAAGGTGTTTTGGGGTCTACTTGGAGGAAAGATTCCTGCTGGCTTGGAAGGAACACAGTGTGTGGATGTGCCTCTTTCAAAAGGGTCTCCTGTGGAGGAGGCGTGGGCTGGAGCCTGCCCACTCGCATGATAGTATGATCTAAGCAGCAGAGCTGGGCTGGGAGGCAGGAGGCCTAGGTTCTGGCCTTTTCTTTGCCACTCACTTGCCAAGTATCCTGCCCCAGTCTAAGGGTCAGTTTCTGCCTCATGAAATGGAGGTGACAGTTTCTCTCTTGTTGATTTCATTTCAATATTTGAGGATCAAATGAAATCATAACATGTACAAGGGTGTTACCACTGTGCTATGGAAAGTAAGATATCTTAAGTGGCAAGATTTTGGGTCTTCAAGTCCTCTCTGAAACGTTTAGATCCTAAGTTCATCCACTTCATGTTTTCCATGTGTACCTCCCTGGGCCTGGCTTTCCTTTGGACATAGAGGGTGACCAGACATAGTTTTTGCCTTCAAGGAGACCTAGCCAAGAGACGGTGTCCCAAAGCTAGTGTTTGCAGCCAGCCAGCGAGGCTGTGCTATAGGGGGTCATGGGAGGCTGTGCCGAGTCCAGCCCTTCCCTCCTGTGCTGACATCGTCTGTCTGCTGTGTCTGCCTCTCCCTTGGGCTGGAGCTTTCTGGAGGCAGGACCCTCATCATCTTGTGCCCTGGTGATGAGGCCTTGCTCAGCAGAGTGGCTCAGTCAGTGCTGCACTGACTGATGAAGGAGTACAACAGAGTCACAGACAAAGTGCCACAGGAGCACTGAGGAGGGCCGGTAAGTTAGGAATTTAAGAGGAGATGGCATTGCTGCTGGACCTGAGATGCTGGACCTCATCCGACTGTGCCTGGCAGAGAGGAAGGAGAAGGGTGTTCAGGCAGAGGCCTAGATATGGGAACCGTTTACACCCTGGTGGGGCTGGAAGAAGGATACAGGCAGGGGAGGGACAGAAGATACAGCCCGAGAGGTCAGCAGGGACCAGAACTGAAGGGCCTTGCAATCGAGACAAGAAGCTGGGGCTTTATTCTGTGGGGGTCGAACAAAGAAGGGGTGTGAGCAGAGGAGCACCCTGATTAGACTGGGAGGTTAGAAAGATCGAGTGGTTTGGTGGTTTAGAGCCGGGGCGGGTATGGGGAGTGGGGGGAAAACCTGTCCCAGTTTAGGCTCCGTACACACATAAGGGAGCACCCACCAAAGGTGCAGAAGGCCAGTCCAAGGACTGAAGGGGCCATCACTTGCTTCTGGGCCACCTCACCAAGTGACAGTTCCCTCCTGTCAGCCCCGGCTGCTAAGCCTATAGCTAATGCTTGAGCAGTTTGGTCCAGATGGGCTTTGGATGGCAAACCAGCTCTAGTATTTGAGTAGCCCAGAGAAGACAATTCTTGACAGCCTTCCGGGTTCTGGGACTGTTCTCCCCTGTGTGAGGCGAGCATGGGGGCTCACACAAGGTACTAACTTGTCCTGGCCCCTCCCCACACAGTCCGCCATCCCCACATTTTTATCCGTAATGGCCTGTCCTGCTCTTCCTGCCAGTGTGTGAACAGGAAGGCTCCCAGTCCTGGGTCACCTTTCCTTTATCATCTCCCAACCTCGCCTACAGACGCTTTGGCCAGACCACAGCTAGAGAAGTCTAGCTACCAGGCAGAGCTTGATTGGAGAACAAGGGGGTGCTTTACCAAGGGTGGTACTTCCCCCTACGCCCCTTCAGTCAGCAGTGTTATTCTGCCATTAGGAATTATGGGTACAGCTCTGGAGCTAATGAGGAGTTGGACACTTGCCCCTCTGAGACTCCTTAGGGTAATTGCATCCTTAGCTCCTCCCCTCTCCATTGCACAGATGAGGGTAATTGTCCAGCCTGCAAGGCAGAGAGGACGCTTGCCCTAAGAGAGGCAACAGGGTGAAAGGCAAAAAACAGACATTTACTAAGCACTCTGCTCCATGCTAGGCTCTGGCCTGTGTGAGCCTACCCAGTCCTCACAGGAGGAGAAAACAGACCCAGTCCTTGCCCTCCTGGAGCTTTTGAAGTTCAAGCTCAAATTGAGAAGGTGGAATATAGTCCTCACTGGAGTTTTCAGGGAAAGTGTCCTTTAGGGTAAAGACCAGAGACTGATGTGATTTAGCCCTGACCTTGCACATAGCATTGTAGAAATGTCCTGTTATTTAACTTTTATTACCCTGGAGGTATGAGTTCGCAACTACATTAAAATGATGAAAAAATTGGGGCTTAGAAAGGTGATAGCTAGTTGAAGAAAGAGTGGGGACAAGAAACTTAGTTGGTCTGATGCCGAAGTCCTTGCTTGTTCTGTTCCCCTGGGCCTCACTCCTGGGTGGAGTAAGGGAGAGAGGGATGGGGGTGGGGAGAGAACCCACCTGAAGAACCTGAAGAACCCACTGAAGATAGACATTTCTCTGTCTTCCAGTTCATTTAGTTCTGTTCTTTATTATTTCCTTCCTTTGGCTTAATTCAGATATAATTTGATTTTCTTGAGTTTGAGTGACTGGTTCTAAGCTTTTCTCATTTCCTAACATAAGCATTTAATGCTATAAATTTCCTTCTACAAACTCGTGTAGCTGCATCACATAAATTTTGATATGTGTTCATTTCAGTCCATTCAAACTATTTTAACTTCCTTTGTAATTTTTTTTCACTGAACTACTTATTTATTTAAAAGTGTATTGCTTCTCCATACTTGGGGGTCTTTTCTTTATTACTGATTTCATTCTAGTTTGATTCCATTTGAATTAGAAAACATATTTCATGTAATATCAGTTCTTTTACGTTTGTTGAGATTTGTTCCATGGTCAGAATATGATAATAGGGTCTGTCTTGGAAAAATCCTTTTTCCCCGAGTCTTCAATGTGCATTTGAAAACAGTGTTCATTCTGCTGCTGTTGTGCGTAGTGTTTTATAAACAGCAGATAGGCCAGTCTGTCTGAGGCTGCTGTTTCGGTCTTTGGTCTTCTTGTGATTTTTGTCTACTTTTGTTCTCTCAATTACTGTGTGAAGAGAGAAAGTCTGATGTCACCAACCATACTGTGGATTAGTCCAGTTTTTCTTTCAGCTCCATCAGGTTTTGCTTCATGTATTTGAGATACCTGTGTTTTTGGCTCTGTGCACTTAGGCTTATGTGTCTTCTTTGAGAGTGGCTCCATTACCATTGTATGAATCCATTCTATGTTCCTGTGATATTTATTCTGAAATCTAAAAGCCACCCTAGACTTCTCTGGATTAGTGTTTGAATGATGTAACTTTTTTTATCCCTTTTTAACCTATGTTTTTATATTTATTTTAAAAAATTTTTATCTTCACCCGAGGACATTTTTTAAATTGCCTTTAGAGAGAGAAGAAGAGAAAGAAAGAGAGAGAGTCATTGTGAGAGAGGAACATTGTTGGTTGCCTTCTCGTATGTGCCCCAACTGGGGATCGAACCCACGACCTTTTGATTTATAGGACAATGCTCCAACCAACTGAGACACACCAGCCAGGGCTATGTTTTTATATCTAAAATGAGGTTCTTACAGATACCATATAGTTGAGTCTTTAAAAATAAATTCAGTTCGACATTCACTGCCTTCTAATTGGGTGTTTAGGTCTTTTCACTATTAATATAATTATTGATATTGCAGAATTTAAATCTACCACCTTGCTAGTTATTTTCTGTTTTCCACTGTCTGATCTTATATACCTTTTTTCTTCTCTTCATGCCTTTTGAGGATTAATTTAATGTTTTATTATGATTTCATTTTATTCTACTACTTGGTTATTGACTGTACCTCTATGAACACTCTTTAGTGGTTGACTAGTGGTTTACAATACATTTTAAAGTCATCAGATTCTGAGGACATCTGCCAAGATGGAGGTGTAGGTGAAAACACTGTGTCTTCTTGCACAACCAAGTTTAAAGACAACAATGTTTTAGCAACAAAAATGCAGCTAAACCACAGAAAATTGAACTATATGAAAGTCCGACAACAACGAACCATTCAGCCAGACCGGTAAGAGGGGCGGAGCTAGCAGCAGAGTAGGGTTGGGCAAAAAAGGTCCCCCAACCCAGGCGCACAGGCAGCCAAGGGCGGATCTCAGGTGTGGGGTAGTGATTAGTGGACTCAGTGAGGGCGCAAGGTGTCAGGCTGACCTCGGTCACGAGTGCAGATGAACCAGCAAAGGAGTGAGCAGTGAGATAGACCTCGAAGGCCCCAGCAGCGGGAAGCAGCAGAGGGGACCACTACTGCTCCCTCTCTGACCCCGGCCCCACATACAGCAGTCACAAAACAACGACCTGGGTGGCCCTGCCCTGGTGAACACCTAAGGCTCCACTCCTCATACATAACAGGCATGAGCAGATCAAAACATGGCTCAAGAAGAACTCAAACCCCTGGAGCCGATAACTATAAGCAACCAAGAAATTGCCAACCTATCAGGTGCACAGTTCAAAACACTGGTGATGAGGATGCCACAGAACTGGTTGATTTTAGTCACAAATTACAGGAACAAATGAAGGGTAAACTAATTGAAATGAAGAATAATGCACAGGAAACCAATAGTGATGGAAAAGAAACTGGGACTCAAATCAAGGGAGTGGACCAGAAGGAAAAAAAAATGACCAAACAGAAAAGAATGAAGAAACAGGATTCAAAAAAATGAGGAGAGTCTTAGGAACCTCCAGGACATCTTTAAATGTTCCAACATCCGAATTATAGAAGTACCAGAAGGGGAAGAGGAACAGCCACAAGTGGAAAGCTTATTTGAACAAATAATAAAAGAGAACTTTCCCAGTCTGGCAAAGGAAATAGACTTCCAGGACCAGGAAGCTCAGAGAGTCCCAAAGAAGTTGGACCCAAGAAGGAACACACCAAAGCACATCATCATTACATTAGCCAAGATTAAAATGAAGGACAGAATCCTAGAAGCAGCAAGAGATAAGGGGACAGTCACCTTCAAAGGAGTTCCCATCAGACTGTCAGCGGATTTCTCAAAAGAGACCTTACAGGCAAGAAGGGGCTGGAAAGAAGTATTCCAAGTCATGAAATCCAAAGACCTACAACCAAGATTGCTCTATCCAGCAAAGCTTTCATTTAGAATGGAAGGGCAGATAAAGTGCTTCTCAGATAAGATCAAATTCAAGGAGTTCATCATCACCAAGCCCTTATTATAAGAAATGTTAAAGGGACTTATCTAAGAAAAAGAAGATAAAAAGATGAACAGTGAAAGGACAGCAAACTCACAATTATTAAGAACCACACCTAAAACAAAAGCGAACTAAGAGGACTCCTAAAACAGAAGCAGAGCCACAGAAATGGAGATCACATGGAGGGTTAGCAACAGGAGTGGGAGAAGGAGAAGGGGGGAGAAGGTACAGAAAATAAGTAGCATAGACAGTAGGTAGAAAGTAGATAGGGGGAGGGCAGGAATAGTAGGGGAAATATAGAAGCTAAAGAACTTGAGACACGTGGTCATAAACTAAAGGGGGAAAGGTGGGGGAGGGGTGTGCAGGGTGGAGGGGAATGAAGAGGGGGAAATAGAACAACTGTAATGGCATAATTAATAAAATATATTAAAAAATAAAGTTATCAGATTCTACCTTTGAATAATGTATCATTTCACATACAGTATAAGGACCTTATAAAAAGTATTCTTCCATTTCCTTACCCCTGTCCTTTGTGCCATTTTGGTTATATAATACCTTTTTTATCTGCAGCTGTTATGAACTCTATGATATATTGCTACTATTCTGCTTTGGATGGTCAGTTATCTTTTATGGTGTTCACAGAACACTTTAATAGTCAAAGTTCACTCCTAGTCATGGCCTCATTTGGCAGTAACAAGGGCCTCCTGGGGTGTGTGTGCCAGGTGTATGTTAGTCCCCATTGACAGTGAACAGAGTGAGATCCTAAAAGACCCGAAAAGGGGAGGAGATTAGGCCAGGGTCACCCAGTGAGATCAGAGTAGAGCTAGCCTGGAACCCAGGATGCAACGCTCTTCCTCAGAGTCCAGGCAGGGTCTGTTCTCCTACATTTTTGCAGCATCTTGTGCCTTCCTCTGTGGGAGGGTGGGTAGGATTTGGTGAGGCAGAGGCCTGGGTGGGGGAAGCCTGGATGGCTGGTGGTTGGAGCCATGCACCAGATGCAAACACCTCCATGGGCTGTGGTGGGTGGTGCTGTGCTGTGAGGAGGGCGTCCTCCATTGTTGCTTCCTGGCCCCATGGGCTTGACAGGATCAGGAGAGTTTTGTTGAATAACGAGATGAAAACAAATTCTCTTCCATTGTTCAGGCTTATGAATCCTAAACCTTCAGAGCCAGAGAGGAGCCTTGAGCTCCTCCCGTGTTTCAAGCATAGCACGGTGCCAGGCACCTAGGAAACCTTTAGTAACATTTATCAAAGGGAACACACCACCAAACTCAATTCTTGCACAGATTAAAAAAAAAAAGGTCAGGAGGGTGGGGGGAATGGGCTCCCGCTGTTTGATGGGGACAGAGTTTCAGTCTGCAGGATGCAGGGTTTCTGGGGATGGGTGGTGGTGGCGGCCACCACAATATGAATGCCACCCAAGCGTGCACTTCACCATGGTCAAGATGGTAAACTTTATGGGACTTACATTTTATGAGAATTTTTAAAATTTGAAAAGAAATATGATGCAATGAGTGCATTTTCTAACTGGGTTAAGCCTGCATTATTTCTATCCACTTCACTGAAGGTGAAGGGCACTGTCCGGCCGTGTCCTTCAGCAGAGGTTCTCAGACACACATGTGCCCACCCACTCCCACCCGGGGTAGCCCATCTGTCCTGGGGCACTCGCCCTGACCTCAAGCTCCTGGGGAAGCTATTTCTTTTTCTGAACCTGGAGAAGGCTTAGAGGCAGGGCAGGTAGACTAGGGAGAAGGGGAGCCCTTTAAACTCTCCCTGCATCAGACAGTGTCTCCCTCATGAACATCCTCCGGCTTTTATGAAGCATGGGGGTTATGTCACATCAGCAAGGACACGGGACCCAGCCAGTTACATAACTGTGGATGGTACATAACATGAGCAAAAATAATCACCTGCTTCCCAGAGTTCGCCATGTGCTGGGGACCTGCCAAGCGCTCTGTGTGCGTTATTTCATTTAATCTCCCAACAAGCCTTGAGGTCAGTCCTCGGTCATCAGCTTTGACAAATGAGGAAAGGAAGACGCAGACGGGGAAGCAGCTGGCTCATTCATTCAGTGAGTGCTACATCATGACAAGTGGGTTTGAGCCCTGACTGGTGTGGCTCAGTGGGTTGGGCATCTTCTGCAAACCAAAAGGTGGCCAGTTGGATTCCCAGTCAGGACACATGCCTGGGTTGCGCAGGTCAGGCCCCTGATTGGGGGCACACAAGAGGCAACCACTCGATGTTTCTCCCCTTTCTCTCTCCCATTCCCTCTCTCTAAAAATAGTTTTAAGTGAGTTTGAGGCTTGAATCTTATGCTCCAAACACCAGACTTTGCAGAGTCCCATTGTGGGCCTTCCACAGACGGGGGAATCGGGTCCCACAGAGGGTCTCTAGACTCCCTGAACATCACTCAGCCAAGTGATGGTGGAGTTGCTGTGGGGATCCAGGCCTCCCAGTTCCCAGAATGGTGTCTTTTTTTTTTAATCCTCAGCTTAGGATATGCTTATTGATTTTTAGAGAGAGAAGGGACAGTGGTAGGGAGAGAGAGAGAGACATCATGTGAGAAGCATCCATCAGTTGCCTCCCATAGATGCTCTGACCAGGGACCAAACCTGCAACCTAGGTATGTGCCCTGCCCAGGGATCAAACCAGCGACATTTTTGGTGTGTGGGACAACCAATCGAGCCATCTGGCCAGGTCCAGAATGGCACCTTTTCTACCACAAGAGGCCTCATCAAGAAAGAGAAGGTCTAGACTGTCAAGCAGAGCACCCTCTGCCTCCTAGCTGTGCGCCCTTGAAGGCAGGGCGGTGAGGGGTATTGGCAGAGCAGTTCTTGTCTCCCTGACCCCTCTTGAAATATTTTTTTTTCCTGCTTTCTGCCCTGACTGCTTCATCTCTCCAAGGAGAGATGGTTTAAGGAGACACCCTCAGAAGGGGACCTGAGTAGGCTTAAGAAACCTTTCTAATCCAGGTCTGCTGGGGGTGTTTCAGAGACGGCCTCAGGTCTGCAGGGCAGGTGGGGAGTATGGTGGCTGGTGGGGCTACCGAGACCAAGGGTGGGAGTACATCTTGCCAAAGGGGTAAGCCTGGGGAGGCACATGTCCCCCTCTGGGTCTCAACATCCTCTTCATTTAGCGGGGGTCTGGGGAGGTAGTTTCTAAGCCCATCTCCTAGTCTTAGGTCAGGTTTCTGAGAAGCAGACCTCGTGCTGAGGAGACCTGTGAGACTGGTTTATTGAGGAAATGCCTGCAGGAGAACTGGAGGAGGAGCTGGGGCAGCCGGAAAAGGAAGGGGAAGAAACTACGCAGGGTGTGAATCTGAATCAGGAGCAGCCTCGGCCAGATCCCTCAGGTGAGCCCTGGAGCGAAGATAATGCCTAGAATTTGTTCCAGCTTAGAGCAGGCAGCTGGCTTTCACCAGTTAGTCTTGGCTAAGGTGCCCTGGGATGGGGTAGGGTGGGAGGGGGAAACACAAACTCCCAGGTGTTTACTGTACTCTGCACTCAGTGAAAAGTATCTTTGGTGGCCCCAGGCAAGCCCAGGAGAGTTGCAAGGGCAGGTGGTTTGAAAGAAAAATCAACAGAAGTACAGAATAGGGTCCACATCAATGACGAAAGGGAATCCGGTGGAGTAATGATGGCATCCCCAGCACCGCCCTGAGGATTCATGGTTCCTAATATTTCATGATTCTGGGTCTTTCCCAGCAGCACTAGGTCAATGACAGAAGGGGAGAAGGTACTGATAGGCTGGGATCCTGAAGCCTAGGGGGGCTTAGGAATAAGAAAGGAGGGTACAGCATGAGAGGAGCCCCAAAGAACCAGATGTGGTAGTTTGGCAGGGCTGAGGGGGCTTGACTCTCAACTCCTCTCAACTCCTGTCTTTACTTGAGCGCTGAGTCACACACACAACCATGCACGCTTGGACACCTGGGGCGCAGGAGCATCCTTTTGTGAATATATGTGCACACAGATGTATACACACAGGCTCATGCGCAGGCATGTACACACTTTTTATACAGCCCATATTCACACATGGCTACTCTTGAAGAAATAAATCCACAGACGTGCACACTTGCTTGTACATGCATCTTCCTAAGCTCATTCCAAAAGCACAACCAGCCAAGGCTCTTTTTATTCCTGTTCAGGAGAGGGAAAAATAGGGGGATGGGGAGGCAGAGTCCAGGGCTGGGCCAGCTGCAGCTGAGGACTGACCTTTGGCTGGAATGGCCAGATCATGCAGCCCTAGAGCCCAGGCTTCTGTCTGTCTGTGCCTGGGAACTCAGCTGCCACCCCCTTCACCCTCTCCACGTCTGCCAAGGTTCCACTTCCACCTTTGACCCAGGCATTAGGTCATCCGTGGGCCACAGGCTCCCTGGCTCCACTGTACAAGTGAGATCTGCAGTCCAGGGGAGGAAATGAACTGGGGCTCCTGACAGGCAGCCCCAACCCCTGGCTGGCAGCCTGCTTCCTTTCCAAATGGCAGGAGGCAGTGGGAGGATTGTTCTTGGGAAGCAAGGGACATCAGTGCAGAATCAAACTGACTTTAGTTTGGGGGGCTGGAGCTCCTGTGCGGCCCCCAGGCTGATAGCGGTCACAGACATTTCAAAAGTGTAATCAAGCCCTAGCCTGGGAGCTCAGCTGGTTAGAGCATTGTCCGGGGAACTCCCAGGGCGTGGGCCTGAGCCCCAGGCAGGGCACCTACAAGAAGAAGCCACCAGTGAGTGCAGAAATAAGTAGAACGACAAATCAGTGTTTCTCTCTCTCTCTAGAGTGAATAAATAAAAATTTAAAATTAAAAAGTGTGATCAGTGCCATGCTATAGGAAGCAGAGGACCACGGAAGCTCAGAGGAGGCCCCCAAGGGCCTGGAGGGGGGGGGTCACAGGGCCAGGGAAAGCTTTCTGGAGAAGGTGATATCTGAGATGGCTCTTAAAAGACCAAAAGGAGTTGGATTTGAGTGGGAAGGAATGGAGTAAAAGGCATTTTAGCCAGAAGGTACGGCTTATATAAAATGTTGGCTCCAGGGGAAGCAAGGTGTCCTAGGGAACCGGAAGAAGTTCAGAAGGCTGGAGGGGTTAAGGAGAAGCACAGGAGGGAGGCAGAGTCGCACTGCAAAGGGCTGCGAGCCAGCCAGGTCGCTAGAGGCAGCCGGAGAGCACTGAGAAACCCCTGGGTTTTCATCGGAGACATGATTTTGTAAGACCTACGCAGGGGGGAGATCCTTCTGGCTCCAAAGTGCAGCGGGGACCCGGGGGTGGCTTAAGACAGATTTGAAGTGGAACACAGGGCCCCTGATTAAGTGGCAGCTGGCAGAAGCTTTGCGAGCTAAGAGGCAAACTGAGGCTATTAGATATTTATATAACAAGACAGAACACAAATTTCCACAAAATTTTAATGGTCAAAATTCAAAGTAAATCATTGAATGCCAAGTGGCAGTACAGGTTGACTAATGAGAAGACGGGGATTTTTTGGAGGATAACGTTTCACTTAACTGGGACTCAAAGCTGCCATTCCCTGACATCACATTGATTGCAAGTGTTCATCCGTAAAAAGCATGGTTAGTTCATAGGTTATACAAACACAGGCTGAACCCTGGCCTAGGCCAGGGGGCCCGGGAGAAGCAGGAGAAGCAGAGGAGGCGTCCTCTCTGCGCCTCAGCTCTGCCGTTGCCGCCTGTCCTTCGAGAGAGGCTCCTGCTCCCAGGGGCTCCAGTCAGAGTGTATGCTTGTCACTAGGAGAGACCCAGACCCTCTAGCCAACAGGAAGACAACAAAACAGGAACCCCTGTAATTATAATATCTCAGGGCAATAAGTCCCTCTCCAGTCCTCTCCCAGAATAATGAACACATGTGTTTCTTGGAATTGTACTGTATCCCAGATATGGAAAGTGACTTCTGCTTGTGGTTGCACTGTAAGTTGCCAGCAGAGAGGGGATTTGAACCCACGTCTCAGGGTTCCCAGCTGGGGTTCCTTTCCCTGTCACCACATCCCTGCCACTGACCCCTGCTAGTCTGGTCGGGGTGAGCACATGGAGAAGGAGCAGCGTCAGGACTCACTGCCCGGACAGAACCCTCTTCAGGCCCCTGCCTTCCCCAACTAGCAGTCCAGTGGTGGCAGAGCGGGCCTCTCGTTTACATACATTTGCATATATAACTTCCAGATGAAGAAACTGAGGCTCAGTGAAAATGAATAACTTGCTTGGCATGTGAAGTAGGCTGAAAAAGTGGCTCCTCAAAAGATATTCACGTCACAGTTCTTAGGACCTCTGAATGTAACCTTGTAAAAGAAAAAAGGGCCTTTGCCGATGTGATTAAACTAAAGATTTTTAAGTGGGAAGATTATCTTGAATTATCTGGAGAGGCTCTAAATGCAAGGCAAAGCCAAGAAAAGTATGTCCCTGTACTAACTCTTGCATGTGTACACTTTACCATTATTTCTGTGTCTATCCATCTGTATCTATATCGAACTCACGTGAATCCACACCGCCCTCCCACTCTCATCTGTCTGTGTGGGGGTCACTCTGGCCTTTCCCCTTGCTTCCCTGGACCCTGTGAGAACATGAGCTCCCAGCATGCACCCACTTACGCGGCAATCTCCATAGACAAGCACAGCACTTTCCGGGTCGTCAACCTGGATCCCCATGAGAAATTCAACTTTACGGGGTGGTGTGAATGCACATTTTATTCGGACATTAGTCTTACAGTTCCAAGTTCAAAACACCGTTCTCCTACGTTACTTGGACCAGTGCTTTCCCAGCGACTCCCTTTGGTAAGGCTTCCTCATATGTTTGTAATACAGTTCGCTCCATCTTGGGATTCCCCAAATTCTGGGCTGATTTTTAAAAGTGAATTTCTATACTTTAAGTCCTTGTGGGTTGTGACAAATGCCTGGTGTCACGTGTACAATACCATACGGATTCCCCCACCACCCAGAAGAGTTTCCGGTGCTTTCCTAGACGAAGGCTCTCCCTCCCAAATCCCTGACAATGCTAGTCTGCTTTCCATTTCTATATTTTATTCTATTCCAGAATGTCATCTGAGTAGAATCAAATGGGGCATAGCCGTTTTACTCTGGCCAGAATTACAAGTTATCCACGTCGTTTTATGAATTAATAGCTCACTTCCTTTTATTTCTGGGGAGTATTTCATAGTCCGGATGTACCATAGTTAGTTTATCCGTTCACCTCCTGAAGGACATCTGAGTTGTTTCCAGTTTATGGTGATTGTGGTTGAAGCTGCTTTAAATATCAGTGTGCAGGCTTTTGTGTGGATGAGTTTTCAGATCAGGTGGCCAAACGCCTAGGATCATGATGGTTGTGTTGTATGGCAAACCTATGTGTAACTTTATAAAAAACTGCCAAAATGTTTTCCAAAATGGTATGCCATTTGAATAAATTAGTTCCTTTACATTTCACAGTTTAAATCCAACTCTTCTGCTCTTTTTCCTTCATTTCCCAAGCTGGTAGTCAGGAGATCACACTCACAGGGCCAAGAGCACAGGCTTTGCCATCAGATCTGAGTTCAAATCCTGGCTCCAGAAACGTAAAAACCATTTAAAAACTGTGACTTTGGACAAGCTAGTTAGCCTCTCCGAGCCTCATATTGGGAATGAACTCTTCACATATTCACGATGTCACAGTCTGGGGTGCCCGGGAAGTGGATTCTGGAATGGCATCCAGCCTGCGGGGTGTTTATGAGAAAGAGGCCATGGGGTTAATGCCTTTACAGGAAGGCAAGGCAGCAGAATTGGGCAGAGGAAGAGGTCGGACTGAGCCGCCACCAGAGTTGTCCCGGTTTGGGCTGAAGTGGCCAACTCTTTATGTCCCGTCTGGACCAGTCATTGCATCTGCTGTCCCTACAGAGGCAGCTCTCTGCGACTGGAGTGAAGTGCGACTGGAGGAGGTACATCCGGGTGGCACATTCCAGTACCCACCACACACGTCAGAGCGGAGAGAGCACCGGCTGAGAGCCAAAGACCATCCTGCCTCGGCCACTGTCCAGCTGTGCGACTTCAGGCAAGACCTTCCCTTCCCAGGGCCGCCGGAGCTCACCCAGGTGTAAGTCACCAAGATGACGGCTTCAACCAATCCGCATACAGCACATTGCAGTTCACCAGGCAGCTCTGTGAACTTTAACTCTCAACAATCTTGCGATGCCAGGAGTCAGTCACCCAGTGGGTTTTAGGGCAGCGCGGTCCCAGTGAGGGCTGAGGACCGGAGTTCGCCTGTGAGCTGCTTGGTACTGGCCTCCGACAAAGGACGGAATTCGAGAATAACTACTGGGAACATTAGAGCAGCGATTTTCAACCTTTTCGTTACTAAAATTCTGTGTGGCACAGCAAAAAAATGTATTTTTTGCTGATCTGACCAAAAAATAGCTATAATTTTGATTCATTCACACACCAGATGGCTATTGTTGTATTGACTGTTGTCATTTTTTTATTTGGCAATCTAAGGGAGAAGAGGTCAGTGCCCCCGACTAAATAGACAGGTATTGTGTGTTTTAAAATTCTTGAGGCACACCAGTTAAAATCGCCGCCTAGCGCAACGTGACAGAGTGATTTCATGTCTATTAAAAAATTTTTTTAATTTGGCTGATGATATGTTAGTCTTTTTCTTATTTCATTTTTCTAGTAATTTACATTGTATTTTACAAATGGATAGGTCCATGATGGATCTGGAAAAACTCACAAGAATCTGGTCCTTCACCGCAGACATTTTGAGAGGCATTGACCAAGGGCACCCCACATGCAGGCTCCTGACAATTTTCACATTTTGGGGGGAAGAGAGACCGCTTTTGATGCTTAATCATTGACATCTTATTGAGGGCCAGGGTTTGTTGCCGGGTTTTTCTGTCGTGTCCCTTTGAAAGGGCCTGCCGGCTCATCCCGGTCTGTTTGTTCTCTCACTAAGCGCTAACTGGATGTGCATGGCACTGGCTCAGCTGTTAAAATCGGAAACACTCAGTGTTCCGGCAGGGAGTGAGGGGAAGACACGGAATCTAAGAAAAGCCCAGACCCGGTTGGTGATAGGCATGACCCCCATGGGTCTGTTAAGGCCCATTGCCTGGCACTCCCAGAGAGGAGAGGTGATGGAGAATTAGCGTTTATTAAATACTCCCTTAAGGATGAACCATTACGGGTGAGGAGACTGAGATGCAACAAGGGGGTGTGACTTGCGTGGGGTCACCCAGCCAAGCAGGTGGGACAGCGGGTGGCTGTGTGCCAGGCCCCTGCCGTTCCCAGCATGCCATTTGGCCCCGCTGCAGGCCACAGCCGGGCAAGGTGGGAGACAGCAGGGGACTTCTGCCTGGGCAGGCAGGCCTCACGTTGGGAGTAGGATTTCAGAAGTTCCTTTGATTTCTCTGACAGAGGAGCCTCATTTATTACAAAGAGGTCACTGTGTGTATGTGTCACTGAAATAATGCACAAAAAGCACCCCACCTGGAGCTCAGCACACAGGCTCTCCATAGGCATCTTGGCATGCTGACTCTGCCCTTCTGTGAGATTATTAAGACAGATGCCCAGGTGAGCCCAGGCATCATCTGGCCCTCTGGCCCTGACTCAGTCCAGGGCAGAGGCCTCCCAGGGCTCCTCCTTGCTTCGGAGATAAATTCCTGACTCCTTGCCTGGACATTTGGGTTTCACTAGCCAGTAGGTCAGGGAGCCTGTCCCCCTGTTCACCACTCTCTCTCAATACAGACACCTCTAGCCTCCTGCTCCCCACACCTCACTCCTTCATCAAGAACCACACCGGCAGCCATCACAGTGTGTGCCCTGCACTTTCCCTGCTCTCTGCCTTTCCTGGCTCAGCAGCACCCCACCCCCACCCCACCTCGCCTCCTCCTGAACCTTAGCAAAGCATAGTGCCCCTGTGGGTTGAGCTGTGGCACCTGCCACGTGGCTACCAACAGCGCTGTCCTGGCTGATCCCTGTCACCATAAAGCAGTGTCAGACAAGCTGGGCCCCAGCAGGCCCTTTGTTCCCTGTGGGTAATGATGTCTGAGCACTTCTGCCCAGGTCAAGGGCAGCCTGATTTCCTGAGTAGACTCCAGCTTCCTCTGTTACTTGCAGCCTCAGGCAGGCTCTGGGGGCCTCTGCCCCTCTCTACCATGCCAGAAAAGCCCTGCCGTCCTCTGGCTGTCTGAATCTGTGTATGTGTTGGGGTGAGGGAACCCATCTTCCCACAAAATGGTGAGGCCCCTCAGGCAGGCTCTGGGGGCCCTGAGGAGGTATCAGTTAGAAGGCACTAATTTAATAACTGAACCCTTATATGTGCAACTCCTGGCCCACTGTGTTAGCAGGGGAGGCCACCTGCTATAACAAATACTCCAAATGTCAGGGACTTGACACAGGAAAAGGACGTGTTTTGCTCATACACACTCCAGGACAGATATTCCTGTTTGGTCAGCTGCCTTGGCAGCCCTCCCCCAGGATCAGTGCTGCTGCTGTCTTCAGCATGGGGTCCTCAAGATTGCTGGGAAAGAAGGAGAACACACTTCCCTCTGGCCTCTCAAGTCTCTCCCCATTGCCCATCGCCCATCCTGGTACCCTCAAGTCAAATGGTCTCCCTGGACTTCATCCCAGCCAGGTAAGGAGGTCATGGCCATCTTTTCCATCTCTGACTTTGCTCAAACTGTTTCCCCACCTATCTGGGGACCCTCTATTTGGTCAGCTCAGCCTCTGTCCTCCCAACTGGCTCCCAGTGACCTCCCCCTTTGGGATCTGCACTCTTGTATGGACTGTGGGCTAGACTTGGTGACTCACATCTAACCAAGAGAATAAGGCAGAATTGATGGTGTTCGGCACAGAGGCTAGATCATAAATGGCAGTGCAGGCTCTCTTGACTTACTTGCTCTGGGAAAAGCACCATCATTGGCAGCTCTTTGGAGATGTGGGCCTATCAGGGGACAGAAGCCTCCCGCTAACAGCCACATAGGGGACCTTGGGAGTGGATCTTGCAGCCCCACTCAAGTCTTTAGAGACTGTAGCCCCGACCCACAGCTCGGCTGCAGCCTCACGAGACCTGTGCCAGAACCCTTCAAATCCCTGACCCTCAGAAGTTGTAGGACAATAAAGGTTTGTTGTTTAAAGCGGATGAGGTTTGGAGTGTCTGCTATGCAGCATTAACTTTTAGAGGCAGGGCAGTCTCCTCCCTCAGTCCTGCCCCAGGCCCAGTGTGCCGACTGACCGGAGGAGGCACCGTGTGAGGGCTCACCCATGCTGCCCACTCACCCAGCCTGGGCTGCCGAGCTGCAGCGGGTCTGGTGATGAGCACTGGGGGTCTGGTGCTGAGCGCTGGGATGGGGCTGCGAGCAGCAAGGGTGTGGTCTTGATCTGGAGTGGGGGAGTCCAGTACTCACTCATGACTGTGCCCTTTTCACCCCTCAGGTAGCCTAAAAGAGGGGTACCTAACTCTAATTTAGGACAGTGATGTGGGAAAGCAGGTTTAGAAGATAGGTGGGGTGTGCTGAAGTTTGACAAAGGTGATGACCTTCAGGGGTGACTGAATATTTTTTTAAATGAAGTCATATGGTTTATTATTAAACTTTCTTTTTTTTCCTGCAAGGCTGGTTGCTTCATTGTGTAGAAACAGCACCAGCAAGCTCAGTGTATTGCAAAATCAAGGTAGTATTTTTGTCGTCTGACACTAATAACCAACAAAAACTTTGCTCCGCTGCTGGCTCTTTCCAGTGGAAAGATCATTAAGTATTCTGACCTGAATCCCGAGGTGAATGTAAGCAGGTTATAATAAGGTTATAGAAGACTAAGATAACAATGTTATCTTTGAATTACGTAATTTTATAACTATGTTTTACCACAGAGAACTTAAGGAATTCTGAATATGATAACTGTAGCCTAGACTAAACATCATAGGGTACATATTGTGTATATCAGCAACCATTAAAAAGTGAAGGGGGTCCTGGCTGGTGTAGCTCTGTGGATTGAGCGTGGGCCTGCAAACCAAAAGATCGCGGTTCGATTCCCAGTCAGGGCACATGCCTGGGTTGCAGACCAGTTCCTAGCAGGGGCCAGTTCCCAGCAGGGGACACATGAGAGGCAACCATACGTTGATGTTTCTCTCCCTCTCTCCTTCCCTTCCCTTCCCTTCTAAAGATAAATAAATGAAATTTAAAAACAAAAAAGTGAAGGGGTATTTCCTTCCAATAGCATTGTTTTCGTTTCTTTTTTCACTGATATTACTAAAAGTTGCTATTTTAAATCTTAATGTCTACCACTGAAGACAATTAATCTAGACCAGGTTGACCGTGCTCCCTCATTGAGGGGGTCTGTTTTCACTCTGCAGCAGACTTTCTCTGTTGCTCATTCGCTTCCTTGCTCTTCAGTCCACCTAGTTCTGCAGGGTCTCTCAGCGCCACCTTTACCAGCCACCATCCTCAGAACAAGACTTGTCGACAAGTCCCAGATTTTCTGCAAGAGCTTCATTATTTTCAGTCACTTCTCCTGACAGAGGGAATAGAGCTCCCTGGCGCCGTCACATTTTCCAAAGCACCAAACTCATCTTGTTTGTCCAGTATTGTCCCAGTTCCAGGATGACTGCAATAAACATCTCCCCAAACTCCCTGTGCAAATTTGCTGAGTGCTGCTGTGCCAATACCATTTTCTGTTGTTACCCATTCACGTTTCTTCGTGAACTAGCGCTGCACTGAGAGGGCAGGTCGGGGCAGCGTGCGGGGTTTTGGGCCCAGAGGCTGCAAGCAGGCTGCAGGCTGCCATGGGCACTCTCTGCACTTGCTCTCAAGGCCAAGTTCACAGGGGTGGGGATAGGGGGTTCATGGCACAACTCCTCGGCCACCCAGCTGGTCTGGGGCGGTGAGGTGGGCACGGAGTGATGTTGACCAGATAGAGGAGGTGTTCCCAGGGGGGAAAAAGTAGCGTGCCCCTGGCACAGCAGGTCCGAGAGCAGAGCATGCTCAGTGAGCAGAGAAGGGCGCAGGGAGTGATGAGGCACTGGGCAGAAGGTCTAGGAGGTAAAGCTGGTAAGTTTAGGTCAAGGCGGAGGATGAGAAGGGTCTGGAACACCAGGCTGAGGAGGCCTTTAGACCTCTCTGGAGGCACTGCAGGCCAGTTCAGGGACCTGGGTTTTGCTGGGGGGAGAGGATGCAGGTGCCGCACGTGGGTCGGCCGGGGAAGAGCAGTGGAGACCCAGTGCCCATCCAGGGTGCCGAGGGTTGTGGCAGAGGAAGGGGCCGTCTGGGAAACCCCCAGCTCCACCGCGGGTCCGAGGGAGAAAAGGCTTCCCTGAAAAGATGAAACCGACATCGAAGGGTGAGTAGGAACCACCCAGAAAGAAGGGGAGTTGGAATGGAGGAGATGACCTTCCAGGCAGAGCCCAGAGATGAGAGAGAGCGAGGCTGATACGTGGACGTGCAGGCGGTTCAGTCTGGGTTCAGTCTGCCCGGAGGGAGCATGCGCTGCGGGCAGAGGAGGGATGGGGGAGCGGAGGACTGGGCCGGGTGGTGGAGAGTGTGAAGGGCGGGCTGAGGAGCTTGGGCTTTGAGGGGCATCTTCTGTCTGCTGTTGAGCCCTCCGGGTCCACTCCCTGCTGCTGTACACCCTGCTCCTTCCAGGGAGATCCACCTGCGTGGACTGCGGCCACAGCCCCTCAGGCTCTCTGGCTTCCATTTGGGTTCAGGCAACAGGGAGTCTTGGCAGGAGGGGGAGGGAGGAGAGTGAGGTGGGAATGCTTGCCTGGCTCCTTTCCTGCAGTGATGACCCCTGGCCATGACTTTCCTGATAACTGCTGCCTTCACTTGTCCTTCTGGGCCTCAGGGCGGAAGCAGGACTCTGCCCTGCTGCCCGACCTGGCCCAGCCCTGGCTTAGTGCCCCATGCTGTGTGCTTTCCCATACCCCAGACATACTCCAAAAACCTGTCCTTTCTCAACTCTCCTCAAAGTACCCTCAGTTCAGCCCTGGCTGGGCGGCTCAGGTGGTTGGAGCCTCATTCCTACACCAAAAAGTTGTGGGTTCAATTTCCAGTCAGGGCACATACCTAGGTCGCAGGTTTGATCCCCAGTCTGGCAGCATACGGGAGGCAACTGACTAATGTTTCTCTCCCATATCAATGTCTCTCTCTCTCTCTCTTTTTTCTCTCTAAAACCAATAAAAAATATCCTTGGGTGAGGATATATTTTTTAATTAACCTCGTTTCGGCATGGCATCTGGTCCTTGCTGGGATCCAGGCTGACACTGTACAAACCCTGGGAGCCACAGAGAATCACTGAAGGATTCCAAGCCGGGCGACGCAGTGGGATTTGCGTTTCTGACAGCTCACTGTGGCTGTGCTTGGCAGATGGGCCCAGGACGGGCATAGGTGCAGCTGAGCTGGGGTCCTCCGATGAAGTCTGGCTTTTGTCATGGTGATGCAGCATTCCTGGGTATGTGGGGAGGGGCAGTTCTGGTGCAGGTTTTCACTGATAACTTTTTGGTAGGTTATTTGCAAGGATGGCCACAAGAACCCCCCATGGGCCCCTGGCCTTTCCTGTGATGACACTGCTGCTCCTCCCGTGAGGGCAGCCTTGTGACTTGTTCTGACCGACAGAAGGCAGCAGCAGTGACACTGCAAGTTGGATAGCCTGGGACTTAAGAGACCTTGCAACCTCGCTCATTCTTTCAAACTCCAGCCACCACCGAGTGCCCAAAGGTGGGTCAGTATAGAGAGGGGCCCGGGACCTGCCTGCACAGAGGAGGCCAGCCGGTCTAGCCCTGCAGCTGTCCCAGCGCCAGCCGACCCACCGCTGCTTGCAGCCATGTGAAAGCCCCAGCAATACCCAGAAGAGCCACAGCCAGCCTGCAGACTTGGGGGAAATAGTAGGTGCTTGCCACATGCAGCTGTTAGGTTTTGGGGCGGCTCATCACATGGCAACAGATCACTACCACAGGCAGGCGCCTCTCTCTTTTGCAAGTCTTGTCCTTCTTTCAGGGCCCAGCTCACCCGCCACTTCCTCCAAGACTTCCCTGGCTGGAGATGGTCCCTCCCTCCTCTGCACTCACTGTTCTTCACTCCCCCTTCCCATGGACCTGCATAGCACATTGCCTTACAGGGTAATGGGCACCTCCCTGAGACACTGCAGACCCATCACCTGACTCCTTACTCACACGTGCCCGGCATCATTCCAGACAGGACGTGATGTGGCTTATGATCTCAAAACAGTATCTTACACCCACAGCACTGGAGGTGGATATTGTAATCCTTATTTTTCGCAAGACAAAATCAAGGCTTGGAGGTGATGTGATTGGCCCCCATTTACTGAAAAGTGGGGGTGGGGCAGGGGTCAACCCAAATTTACACTTCTCAAAACACCCCCGTGTTGGGGTGGTTGGCATGGTCTGTTCCTGGGGGGAAGGACCCCACTTGCCCACTGGAGGATGAGGGGGGTTCATGAGAACTGGTCTCACCAGCTGTCCCATCCCTGTAAGGCTGTTCCAAACCCAGGGATCCAGAATTCTTTCTGTCAGGACACTTGTCCCCATGTCACCCACCTACAGACACGTACAAACATCCAGCGCTCATGCCTCGCCTTCATTCTGTCTTGGTCTGCCCTGCCTCTGAACACACCGGTCCCCTCTCTCCCAACAGAACAGGGCCGGGGGCAAGCCCAGGGCTGACAGATCAGGAAGGGTCAACACGCCCTTCTCTGGCCCAATTCCTGGGATGATGAGACAGGGCCACAGGGTCTGGCCGGGGGGTCCAATCTCTTTTAGTTGTGGGTGTGAAAGAAGAGAAGAAGGCTGAAATAGAATCCTTTCATTTATTGGGGTGGAGTTTATGGAGCCCCCTTTTGTGCTAAGGTAAGGGGCTGAAGTTACAAAGGGTGAGTAAGAAGTACCTCGTGGAGCTCTTGGCCTGTGTGACGTCAGAGCTGAGACTCAGAGGCCGTCTTAGCCAGTCAGGGAGACTGAGGCTCAGAGGGAGAGTGACAAGCCTGCAGACATACGGTCAGGGACAGAGTGCAGTTCTCCTTACCCGGCTCGGGGAGGAAGGAGGTAGGTCATCCAGCGTTTGGGATGAGGGAGCTGGAGGGACTGGAGCTGGTGGCTTCTTTGGTGCTGTCACTCAAGGTGGAGGAAGAAAACCTAGTAATCAGGTGCCTTCTCTTTTCTCTTCCTACTGGGTGACATTACCACAGAGGATGGAGGCCTCGTTCTCTTCCCACCTCCTCGCCCATGTCACAGAGGAGCAGACTGGGGAGAGGGGCTTGCAGAGGTTTCTCAGCAGGAGCGTGAGTGGCCAGCGCCAGAGTCCAGCCATCCCTCCCACGCTGCCAGCTGTGACTTGGGGTTGGATTTGCAGGAGTCTTGGAAGACTCTGGAGAAGTGTTCACCGAACGCTTCCAGGAAGTCTTCTCAGTTCACACACCTCCCACAGGGCTCCCTAATGCCAGCCCAGCCCTTCAGGGCAGCCCCTCCTCTGGGGAGGCGCTCAGCAGAACTCCAGGTGTTGGTCCGTGGGGACATTGTATTTGAGCTTGTGGGCTTCGAAGAGTTTGCACAGCTCATCCATGTAGTGCCGGTGCAGCTCGTCCACCTGCTCCTGAGAGGGCTGCGTTACCTGCTGCACCTCGATGGGCTTCCCCACTGCAAAACAGAGGTGGGTGGTAGCCCAGGATAGGGGCCCTCGGGACAGGCGCCCACTGCCATGGTCATCCTTGCAGGAAAGCGACCTCACTGCCGGCCCCTCTGACCCTATTTTGAGTGGTGAATTCTGAGACATTAGAGCCACTCCACAGTTTGGATACAATAAATAACACTACCGCCAACTGGCACAGCAAAGTACCTAAAATATGCTGGGTGCTTCACATGCACTATCCCCTTTAATTCTCATTAAAGGGGATAGAATCTGTTATTATTCCCACTTATGGGGGGCCATGAGGCTTAGAGAGGTTAAGTAACTCATGTAGGGCCACAGAGACAGGAAGAACCAGTGCCAGGTTTTAAACCCTGGGGATTTGCTCTTAATCTCCAGGCCACGTGGTCCCAGGGGTCTAATGTGCGATGTTCAGAGGTGCCTGCATTTCTAGGGTGAGGTGGGGCTGCAGCCCCAGCAGCTCTTCCTCCCTCCCCGCCCTCCATGCTGGCAGGCAGTGCCCCCTTCATTCTAGGGAGGAGTCAGGAAGGCCCCAACTAATCTCCCTCTGGTTCTGCCTGCCTGAGAAGGCAGCCCCCGACCTCTCCTCTTGGTGATAGCCTTTGGAGGCAGCAGCCATATTAATGTTCATGAAAATATTGCCACACAATTGGGGGTGAGTCCTGGTCCAGGGGGTTCACCAAGTCTGTGCTCCACTAACAAACGAACAGGTGGATGGAGATGAACGGACCCCTCTCCACAGGCTTTGTCAGAGGGACCATGTTCGCATCCCAGAAGCAAGCAAACGAGGCGTAAAAATAGCTGGGAAACGTGCTGTTAAGTCCACACACTACAGCTCATGTCCGCTCTTTATAGGAAAATCCCCCCGCTCTACTCCAGGCCTATTGATTGCTGCTTTACACACAATTCTAACAGACTTGGGATTCTCTGCCCTTGTACCCACCTTTTCCAGTAAGCCTTACTGATCCTCTGGGTCAGAATTAACCCTTATTTCTGTGGCATAATACAAAGTCACACAGGTCCTGATTCAACCTCACCTTTGTTACCAAAAGCAGTCTGATTTTTTTGGAAGTTACTTCTCTGAGCCTCAGTTTCCCATCAATGAAATGGGGATAAGAGTCTCTGCCTGGCAGGTTGTCAGGATAAACAGGACCACGGCATGTAAGGAAGCCTGTGCAGTACCTGGCACACAGTAGGTGCTCAATAATGGGCAGTGACTGTTGTTCTCTGTGTCTTTGTTACAGGCTCATCCCAGACTGCTTCATGCTGGGGTTATGTGTGTCTGTTTCCTGGTCTAAAATGTGGGCTCCGTGAGAGCTAGGATGTGCGTGGCCCGTCCCCGGGTCCCCTTGCAGCTCACAGCCCAGGCCCCTTTTCCTGTAGCCCACCCTGGCCCAGCCTGGGTCTCCGCTCACCCACGGTGGTGATGGGCCGGCGGTAGGGCAAGAGACCAAAGCTGTACTGGAAGATGCCACGGCCATGGAAGAGCGGGAAGGAAATACCCATGATCCCCTGCAGCCAGTTCTGGATCCAGCGCAGCCAGGAGCCAGGAGAGTTCTCAACTTGGTCAAATAAGTCATTCTCCCCAAAGGAGAAGACTGGCACCAGAGCTGCCCTGGAAGGAGACAGGGGAGAGGAGGCATTTTGAAGGCCCCAAAGACGACCCCAGCTGGCCCCCTAGCTTCCTGCAGGGACCCAGTGACCAGGAACTGGAGCAGAGGACAGAGCCCTGGGCTGGAAGTAGCGTATAGATTGCCTCCCAGACCCGTTGGAGCCTCGCTCTCTGACCCAGGGCAGGCTCTGGCCCCTCTCAGAGCCACGGCCTCCCCGTTGCACCATGACAGACAGATTAGAATGCCTCCGAGGCCTCCCAGTTGGAAAACGCCTGCCAACTTTGTAGAAACGTCTCTCCTGCCCCAGCTAGCTCGGGTGCTTCACAGGCGCTTCGAGATAAGAGAACAGCCCTGCGCTATGCATTCTCCCACATCCCACAGGCCTCAGATCTAGTGCTGGCTTTGGGCAACATGTCCCTTCCCACCAAGGCCCTTTGGTGACAAAGTCTCCATTCTGGAACCTTTTCTGGGTATTTGGGCATGAGACAGTGCAGGTCTCACCAAAATATCATCTGTATTGTAAATAAATGTACTGAGAGATCTCCCTGCCAAAACAGAAACTCCATTAGTCTCTGCGGTCTTCCCACCAAAATAAATCCTTGCCAATCTTCAACTTAGCTGAGGGCCCTCTTCCCAGATACCCATGCATCAGGGCAATCCTGATGAAGCCCTTGCGGTTCTGCAGCAACAGTTTATAAGACCCGGGCCTGGCGTTCAGTGTCTCCCGGGCGCCCCCGACAAGGATGCCCAGCAGATTGCCGCTGCCCTTCCTGCTCAGAATGTGAACAGCACTCTCCTTGTCTGATGTGACCAGCCCTGGGGAGAGAGGAAGGTGGTTAGATGTAGGGTGAGGGGGCAGGGACTATGGGTGTGGACGTAGCCCAAGAAAGAGATCATCAGAAGTACCTACAGAGGCCTGGATCCCCTTGCCCCCGCCCCCACACTCCAGGTAGGAGTTCCCTGAGGACTGGGACTGAGTCTTCTCCCTCATTCCGAACCCCCTTGCTGAACTCACTGCCCTGCTCAGTGCTGTGGGAAGTGTTTCCTTGGGTCTACCCTCCTTCTTCCACTGCATATGCTCTCAGAAGATGTACAGAACTATTGGTAGCCCTTCCTAAGATCCCCTCCTCCCATGCTTGCAGCCTCATTGACCTAGGCTACTCAGGCGGGGAAGACTCACCCCCTGACATGATGTAATCCCTGAAGAAGGGGAACCGGAACCACAGGGTCAGCATCATCAGGTGGGGGCGGATGCCGGGGAAGAGTTTAGAGAAGCCCGTGCTCTCAGTGCACAGGTTGAGGAAGGATCCAGTGGCCAGGATCCCGTGGGGGTGGATGCCGGCGAGGTAGTTCCGGGAGGGGTCCAGCTCGGCAGTCTTGACCAGCTGCCGGGACAAGAACCTAATAAGCTAGGGCTGGACCTGCATCCCCCCTCTGATACCGACACTCCAGCGTGATCGCGGGCAGCTCACTCCTGGTCTCTGAGCCTCTGGTTTTCAGGAAGGTTGAGAAATGGTGTGTGAACGCATCTGGTGTATTGCCAGTGCTGGCTGCGTCTCAGACTCACAGCTGGCTTTGGGTAGATTGCTCCCTCTCGGACTTTTCATTTGTAAAATGGGGGCATTGGGCCCCGTCCCACCTGCCTCCCAGGACTGCTGAGAACCTCCGGTCTTGGGGTGCCCTGGAATTACGAAGACTGCTACATGACAGGATATAATTTGAAGGCACAGAATGGCCACACGGGGGTGCCACTATGCTGGAAGAACCCCATTTTACGACTCAATATGAGAAAAATTGGCTTTTAAAACCAGGAAGTGAGCATTTGCAAGATATATGGGAGAGATATAGGTTGCAGACCAGGAGGCCAACTCTAGTCCTATTTACTTTTCCTGTCTCACCCATGGCTCTCTGCTCCCCTCTGTCCACTCTTGCCCCAGACACGGGCAGCTCTGCTGGCACAGAAACTTGCCTGAGTTAGTCCCGCCTGCAGCACAGAGGGTGTAGCAAGGACCACCAGATGCTGTATGTAGATTGAGTGGGAGAGGAGAGCCGTTTGTCATTAGCAGTTTCCAGGTGAAGTGGGGTGAGGGGAAGGGGCAGGAACTGAGTTAACAAGTGTTGCTCCTGGCCAGTTACTAAACAGGGTGCAAAGTGGCTGGGCCTGCAAAGACTTCCACTGCAGGCAGTGACTGCATGTGTGTGTGTGTGTGTAGGGGGGATCAATCCTCTCCTTACCCTGCCAGGAACTGTGGGGCCCACCTTTTACAGGTCTCTGCCCTCTGGGAGTCATAGCCATCAGAGTTTGAAGGCCCCGAGGCCCCAAGTGCTGACTCCCTGAGGACTCCGTTGCTGCCTTGGGGACCCCAGAAGCCAGGCCATCCACCCTCAGAGCAACCTGGAGGGATCTGGGGGACAGCCATGGGGGTCTGAGCCTCCCTGCTTCATCCTGCTTCTCCTGTCCTTGACCTGGACTTGGTCTCAGTGCGTGTGCGTGCGCGCGCGCACACACACACACACACACACACGCACACACACTGGCCCTTTGGTTAACCATTGACCCTCCTGCAAAAAGGCTGCAGAGACCACTGCTCCCAGATAAGGACAAAACTCTCCCACTCATGCAGTGGGGATTTATTGGATGTCAAAATAAAGACTTACAACTGGAGATTTCCCACCACCCCACTGGAAAACGGGCCTCCTCAGGAAGCCATCTGGTGCCGTTTCTTTAAAGACACGCCCATCTCCCTACAAGAAAGCACTAGCTTCTAAATATTCTTTCTCAGCTAGAGGGAAGGTAATTTTGTACAACCCCCCTAAAGGCAATTTGGCCATATCTATCACAACCAAAAAATGTAACTGACCTTTCAACCCAGCAACTCCACGCTGAGGAATTTAGCTACAGAATTTCTCATGCTTGTGCAAATGACATCTGAACAAGATTATTAACTGAAGCATCATTTTTTTTGTGTGTGTGGTAATAGCAAAAACTTGGCCTCTACCCAAATGTCCATCAACAGGGCCTGTTTAGACAAATCAGGAACAATTTACATGACGGACCACTCTGCAGCTGCCCAAAGCTCTTCCTGCCCTGCGAGGGGAAGATTCCACTGTTGCCCAGCAGGTGGGCTGGCAAGGGGCAAGCCCAGCCTGCAGACTGCTACCCCCAGATGCTCTCTTGTGGATGCACCAAGCACAGGCCATTGCGGCTGCCTCTGGGTAAAGAACTGGGGAGATGGGATACGAGGAAGGGCGGGTCTTTGCACCATATACCCTCCTGTCCCTTTTGAATTTTGAACAAGAATGTAGTGCCTATTTTAAATGAACAATAAATGAATAATGAATAAAATACATGAAAAAATAAAGGAAGGATTATCCCTTTCATGAGTAAGTCTTAGAGGTGCTCCCCAAGAGATCTAAAGGAAGGAAGGAAGGAAGGAAGGAAGGAAGGAAGGAAGGAAGGAAGGAAGGAAGGAGTACATGCACAAATGAGGCTGACGCAGCCCACGCCTGCCCCTGGTCTTGTTCAGATGTGTCACCTGGCTTCCACTGAGCTGGCAGTCACGAGACCCAGGTTCTGCCCCTGGCCCATCACATGACCTTTGCCCAGCCTCCGCTCTCTCTGTGCCTCAGTTTCCCCTCTGTCCCAGGAGGACCGCGAAAATGCCTTTCTGGCAAGGCTGTTACTGGGTTCAGGTGTGGTAAACATGGAGGAGGCAGGCTTGTAAAGTGCTGTGTCCTCTACCTCACTCCCGCAGAGCTCTTCAGGGTGGGGATGGTGACTAAGTAAAGGGGGATGGCGACTAAGCAAAGGGGGATAGCTGGGGAAAATCCCTTTGGCGTGTGTCCTCATGTCCTTGCAGGCAGGGCTTAGCACTAGGCAGTGGCAGCCAGGGAAGGAGGTGGCCAGGTTGCCAGGCTCTGGGGATTGCTTTTTTTATTTATATAGGTCATATACCTTGTTAAAGTGTGCAGTTCAGTGATTTAATATATTTAAAAGGTGCACAATCATCACCACTACCTGATTCTAGAGCACTTTCAATACCCTAGGAAGAAACCCACAGCGGTCTCGCCTCTGCCCTGCTCCCAGCCCTAGCAACCACCAGCCTAATTTTTGTCTGTGCGGATTTGTCTCTTCTGGACCTCTCACATACATGGAATTATACGGCACGTGGCCCTCTGTGTCTGTGTTCTTTCACTTTGCAGGATGGTTTCGAGGGTCGTCGATGTCGAAGCCCATATTGGCCTTGGTTCCCTTTTATGACCAAACACTACTCCTCTGTCCACTTAATGCTCTTTGGCCATCACAGATAATGTGACCACGAACATGGTGCACAAGGCTTTGCACAAATGTGTTTTCAGTCCTCCCAGGGGTGTTCCCACTTTGAGTTCCAAGACCTTTGCCTAGTTGACCCTGCGCAGGCTCCCCTGGAGAGGACAACCGGACTGTGGGTGGGAGGGAGGACAGTGAGGGGCCATGGCTCTATCATGTCTGCCCCCTCCTGTCTCTTGACAAATGTCCTTGTGCCCTCTCACAACCACAGGGTGACCCAAATGCTTCAAGAGCCCACAGTCCCAGAGGCTCCTTCATGGGTCACAAAGCACCCACTCCACCAGCGTGCTCAGCCACAGCCCCCGGAGGTCGGCGGCAGTGTGGGAGCCATTAGGAACAGTGAAGCAAACCATGATGCTGAGTGGTCAGCGGCCTGCGCACAGCCACACAGAGGGGTCTGAGCTCTGCTGTCCGTCTCCTGCCTCCTGTGGAGAGCATCAGAGAGAGCCAGGAAGCCTCTGCCCCAGACCCAGAGAGCTGGCCTGAGACCCGGCACTAGCTGGGGCCTTCTCCTTTGTGCACGCACTTGGAAGGTTCAGGGCACGCAGGTGTCCTCTCCAGGATGCAGCTCCTGCATCAGCAACCAGGCCCCGAAGCACCTGTTCCTGGTTATTAACGCACCTTGATAACTTAACAGGGCATGTACGCAGGGCAAGCAGGGTCTGATTCAGAAGCTGTTTCTGGCTTTGGGCATCTATGTGACTTGTGACACATTTCCCAGGGGTTCCTGTGTCTGTGAATCACCACTCTAAACCCCAGGAGTCCCCTTCCGGGTTCAGGCAGATGGCCGTGTGTGTGTACATGTAGGGACTGGCGTTCTTCCTTATCTCCTCCGACCACGGCCGGATGGAAGGGAAGGCGTGGGTATTGTCCCTGTCCCTGGCAGTGGCTCGGTGTGGCTCAGTGTGGCTCAGGCCAGGCTTCGGCCTCCCCAGGCTGTTCCATCAATAAGTTCTCAGCCCTGTCCTCTCCCCGCCCTGCCCAGTCCTGCCGCCCTATAGCCATGGGTTCCCGCTCAGCTAACAGACACACTCACTAGCAACTGCAAACCTATTTCCTCAATTCTAAGGTGCATTTTTTCTCACATCTTAACATTTTGTTGTAAAGATGCACCTGACAATTATGATTAGATTTTTTCTTAGTGGTACCTAAAGTACTGAAATGTTTTACCACTGAGGATGTCTGCCAGGCACTGAGAGCTGGAAAGGGTGTCTGTCCCAGGTGGGGAATTCTCAGCACCTGCTGTATGCCAGGCACCTACTACACTGCTGAGCTTCCTCCTCTGTTAAGCACTGTGAGGGAAGTGTTGGCACCAATGCCCCATTTTACAGATGAGGAAACCAAGGCACAAGGTTAATTCATTTGCTCTGGTCACATAGCTAATGAAGCGGCAGAGGCAGGATTTTGGCACAGGCAGACCGGCCGGCTCCATGTGTGTGACCAGCGGGCTCTACCTCCCAGCCCCCACCCCGAGGGAAATGTGGGGAGGGTTAACAGAGGGAAGGGGTGCATCACAAGCCAGGACACCAGCGCGACTGCCACAGCGTGTGCCTGGAGAACTGGGGTGGCAAAGGCGGAGGGAGAGGCAGGTGAGGAGTGAGCGGGGTCCAGAGTGCAAGAGTCTGCAGACTGCAGGGAAATAGGTCTTATTCTAGGTAAGATGGCAGTCATTGCTTTTTCAAATTTAAAAAAATATGAGGATTGTTCTGGCTGCTGAGTGGAGCATGGAGTATGGGGAGCACTGGCAGAAGTGGGGTGCAGATAAAGAGGTAAGTGTGTTCAGGACTTAGTTGGAAACAGAGAAGGGTCAGACCTGGAGACGTCTGGGAGGCACGGCCCAAGCTGTAGAGCAGCAATTCTCAACCAGGTTCGGTTTGTCGCCCCCCCCACCCCCACAGAAAGGGCATTTGGTAACGTTTGCAGACGTTCTTGCTGCCTCAGCTGGTGGAGGGGAGTGTGACTAGTATCTAGTGGGTAGGAGCCAGGGATGAAGTCAGAACACCCCCCCCCCCCACACACACACACAACAAAGAATCATTCGGCCCAAAATGTCAATGGTGCTGAGGCAACCTACTTGAGAGCTAACTGGCTGGAAGAGGGAGAGGTGGCAAAGGCAGCCAAGTCAAGGGGAATGGAGGCCTCATCCCACAGGGCTGCCCTAGAGCTGAGGGGACAGCTCTGTGCCAGGTCCTGGTGCCTATGGCAGAGGTGGGACTCCTGGGAGGGTCCCATCTCCTGTGTGCTGGGAGGTGACTGGGCCGGGAGGCGGGGCAGGAAGTCTCTAGAGAAGACCTCAGGGCTGCGGAGGAACTAAGGGATCAGGCCAGGTGTGGGTGGGAGGGGTCAGGGAGGTGGCCCACACTGCCTCACTTCCTGACACTGGGCCACAGCCCTGGCCACAGAGGTCTGTCTCCCAGACTCCTGCAGCTCTGACCCTCCTCAGGCCTCAGCCTGTGTAGACAGGACTTGCTCCCGGATGATGAAATCATCAGGGGAAACCCAGCTCCCAGGCTGGTCTTCACCACGAGGTGGAGACAGCCTCTCCTACACCAGACATTGCCTGGCTCTCCAACATTAGGTCTTTTGGAAACCTACAGGGTCCATTTAGAAAACTCCAGGGCCCGGAAACAGTTTCTTAATTTTGTTTGAAATTCCACCACTAGATACTAGTTCATAAAATCACAGTAAGAACAGATGGGAGCTCAGAAATCCACCTGTATTTGATGGGAGTGCAGAGGCTTGTGAATGCAGGGAAGCTCCAGCACAGCTGGGACTTCCTCCCTCCTGCCCACCCCAAGGTCCTCATAGGGCCTTCTGGGAGAGTTGGAGGGTCTCCTGGGGGCCTGTGAGAAAGGCAACCTGCAGGCTCCCAGCCTAAGATGGGCAAAGTCAAAGTGCGTGTCATCTTGCCCTCTGTTGGCCACTTGGTGGTACTGCCTGCCCTCTGCAGGTGGTGATGCTACAGGCCTGCAGAGCCCAACAACCCTAAAACACTGCACACAGAATTTCTGCAAAGCAAGTCTCCTATTCTACCAGTGTCAATAGTGCCAAGATTGAGAAATCCTCGAGAGCTACCTGGCTGGGGGAGGACAGGAAAGGCAGCAGAGAGGATATGCACAGTGCCACCTCAGCTTCATTTTTGGGCCAGACCTGCAACTGGCAGCAGCTCCAGGTGCCAACAGCCAGTCGCCATCCTTTGCAGGCCCCCGAATGACAGCCCCCTGAAGAATTTTCAGTGGACGAGTTCCAGTTCTGTAAAACCGCCTTCAGTGGCTTCTGTTACCTTGTCCCTGAAAAAATCTTTAGCCTCCTCCCCACCTGGGCCTTTACTTTATAGTCAGTCACACTGAACAGCATTAGGCTTACAGCTCAGAGCCACACTGTGGCCAGCCTCTAAGCCTGTGCTTGTGTCGGTCCTTTCTTTCCCTGGTGAACTTGTGACTCAGCTCACAGTGGGTGGTCAGACCAGAGAGTGAGAATTCATGAAGCTCTACTAGAGGCCAAAACCAGCTTCCTTTGGCTTGGAAGTTGGTGTCCACACACACTCCCAGGTTGTAGACCGTACTTTCCCATGGAAACCCTCACCTTCCTAGAGCACAAGAGCAAGCCCTGGCCTGGGAAGAGGAGAGGGAGGGAAGGGAATTCAGAATCTCAAGCTCAGAAGTCCTGGGTGGGGATAAGGGACTCTGTCCATGATATGCCCATGGTCCTTTTAGGATCCAACGAGCCCTGCCTGCCTTTGATGACAATGTCCTGGAAGAGCACACTGCAGAGGAAGCAGATATAGGGGGTGTGGAAGGCCACCCCCCACCTGGACCCCTCAGGTTAGCTTAGCACCTCCTACTTCCTACTCCCTGCACATTACAATATGAGCACAGAAGTCTCCCCCAGCCAACTTCCTGCCTTCTGCCCAGCCCCTGCCTTGCCTGCCTGCCCTGCTTTGCCCTGCCCTGCCCTGCCTGGTCCCACCCTTGTCCTCTGCCCAGGAGGGCCTGCTCACTGGGGTGTCAGGGGGTCCTGCACCTTGTTGTTGCCCAGTCTTTGCTTGTTCTCGTTGGGCCACAGGACTTTTAGAAGGAAGCAATGCAGAAGTGCTCATGACTCAGGTGAGTTGTTGCACTTCTGCGACCCTGTTTCCTCCACTCCTTTCCCCTTTGCTGGCTGGGATCGTGACTTCTAGAGGGGCAGGAAGAGGCAGAGCTCTGGGGGATACAAGGAGCCCTGCAGGTGTGGAGGTCAGAGCAGCAGGGCTCTGGCCTACCAGCCCCACAGCCCACCCAAGGCTCCCAGGCTCCCCACTGACTCAGTAAGATAACCTTAGCTAATCGAGTACTGAGATCCTACAAGGCACTTTGCCCCCGTCTCATTGAATCCGCACAGCCCATGATGTATGTGGCATTGTCTCCACTTCACCTGTGTGGAAACTGAGGCTCAGAGAGACCGTGTAACTCACCCAAGGTCACGCAGTGGGTCTGTGGCGGAACTGGTGTCAGAACCTGGTCTGTCTAGTCTAGTTCCAGAGGCCACATTTTATACTTCTTCTGCCTTCCCCATTCTATCCCATCTGGCCAACACGCCACCCTGCCCAGCTGTTTACATCCAGGGTACAGTCTGTTTGGGGTTCAGTAAAGGAGCTGAAGGGACTCTGCACTCAAATCTAGGGATCTGCTTCACTCAGAATGATCTTTAGGTCCAGGATCAATGGTTTGCAGTGGCCGTGAGTTGCCCTGGGTCAGAGAGTCAGAGATTCAAAGGCACTCAGAGTAGGAGAGATGAGTCTGCTTCATGGATACAAGGAGAAAATGAGGTTCAGAATGGGCAAGGCCTTACCCAAAGACACACTGCATACCGGTGTTAGGAGCAGGAGAGAACCCGAGAACCAGTTCAGAGTTCTCTCCCCTTCCCCTTTACCCATAGTTCCTGCACAAACTTTGAAACCAGTTCAAAACAACAACAACTTGTTATGTGACCTTGGTCGTAGCTTTGTCCCTCTGAGTGCCAGTGTCCTCATCTAATGAAGTATGGAGCAAGATGATCCCTCAGGACCTTGAGTTTATTATCCCCCACTCCAAAAACAAATCTGGGCTGCTGAGAGGGTCACACCTATAAGATACATGTATGTGCCACGCCGGATGCCCCACAGACCCTTCAGACCCTAGGCGCTTATCAGCCTTCATACTGGCCCGACGTCCCCACATACAGGAAACCACACCAGAGAGGAGCTGGGCTCTTCCCCATGCTGGTGGCAGCCCTAGATCCTGCCCCAGTCCCCCTCATTTCAGTTCACACAGGGCCCCACTTTCCCCACCGGGACATAGGACACCATGGCCCTGGCCACACCATGGCCAGCCCAAATACTCACCGAGACAGGGAAATAGTCCTTCATGTAACGCCATGCCACCCAGTCTCTTATGACCTGGCAGGGCCGGCCGCCCTTCCACGGCTTGTCTCTATCCAGGTACCACCAGGCTGCATACAGAACACTGAACAACCAGAATCTTGTGAACAGGAGGCCTATGAAGACCAATACGCAGACCTGACCTAGGGAGGAAAGCAGGTGAGAGGTGTGAGAGGACAGAGATGAGACGCCCAGACTGAACCTCCCTCGATGCTCAGCGCAAGCAGCACCGTCCCGACCGGCCCGCATTCCCAGGAAGGAGGCATCAGCTTCCCCTGCCCTCCAGGAGGAGAGAACGCGGCTCGCCAGTGCTCTGCTGGGAGCACTGATTTGAACCGAGGTGGGCCTGACCCCCAGGCTCAGGTCTTCCCCGCTGCCCCAGGCTGCCTTACGCACTTCGGTCTTCCCCACCCACCTTCCCTTCCTACAGTAGAGTAGGGCAGACCCTTGAACATCTGGGTCACAGTGTGAATTCAGTAGGCCACAGGTGTCAAACACAAGGCCGGAGGGCTGGATCCCGCCTGTCACCTTGTTTTATTTGGCCCGGCACCTTGTTTCTATCCAGCAGCAGCACCGAGTTCCTTGCCCCTAGTTAAGGAGTAGTTACATTTATTCAGTCCTAGAATTACGTTCAGCCCCTTCTAGGCAACCTCGAGGCTGATGTGGCCCCTGGGGAACATGAGATTGACGCACTGTCTTCGGCCCATTTATATGTGGATCTTTTTCAATAAGTACACTACAGTGCTCTACATGTGTTTTCTCCTCCTGATAATCTTCTTAATTACATTTTCCATAGCTTGCTTTATTATGAGAATACAGTATATAATACACACAACATACAGAATATGTATTGACTGTTGATGTTATTTGTAAGGTTTCTGGTCAACAGCAGGCTATTAGTAATTAAGTTTGGTGGGGAGTCAAAAATTGCATACGGATTTCCAACTGTGCAGAGGCCGGAGCCCCTAACCCCCGTGTTATTCAAAGGCCGACTGTAGTCACCACGCACCCAGTAAATACCTGGTGGACAACTGATTTCATGACCTGCTTTTAGTTTCCATATTTGGGGACCTCAAAGAAGAGAGGCACTGTTTCTGCCCAACCCTCCGTCTGTTCACCCTCTACCCCAAGACCAATCCAGCCAGGTCCCCCTTCTAACGAAAGCCTTCCATGGATTTTCCATAACTTCAAGGCATGACCCAAGCAGCTGGGTCTGGCATTCGAGCCCTTTGTGGCTGGCCCGGCCCCTGCTCCCGCCACAGCCTCACTGAGCTCACTCACACACCCACTGCTCTGGCCACGCTAAACTGCTCCGTGTTCCTGTAGCTCACTGAGACCTTTCCAGCTCTTGGCTTTTGGGCGTGCTTGCTCTGCCCACAATGTTCTTTCCTGCCCACTTCCCTTCAACATGTCCTAGAGGTCCTGGCCAGTGCCCCATGGAAAGGAAAATGAATGGGCAGCGTGGGGACCGGAAAGGAAGAAGCAATTTGTCTCTGTTCACAGACGCACGACTCAATACTTAGACGGTCCTAAGGAACTTCCAGAAGCCGCTAGAACTTGTGTGAACTCAGCAAGGTCTCGGGACCTTGGGAAAGAACACTTGCACATGCGTGGTTGCACACGTGTGTTGCACCAGCGTGGTTGCACACGCGTAGGGGGTGGCAGGGCTCAGACCCAGAGAAAGGAGACAGGATGCCAGGGACAAGGATGTCAGGGAGATCAGTTTAAATTTTATTTATTTTTCACATTTAAGAGGTTTAATGTGAAGAAAATAGTAAAAAGCCCCAGTCAGGGCTCCCTCCCCTTGGGCCAAATGAAAGGTCTGTGTGGGTGACTCCCACTTGGAAGAAATCAGCTCTAGAGAACACAACAAACTATTACCGCTCACTATGTGGAAGGTGGAATTTGGGGAAGTCTTATACTTTTAGGGTGCACATTTTGTTTGTAGGTTTTATTTATTTTTAAAGAGGGAAGGAGAGAGGGAGAGAAATATCACTGGGTGGTTGCCTCTCATGCATCCCCTGCTGGGAACTGGCCTGCAACCCAGGCATGTGCCCTGACTAGGAATCGAACCGCAATCCTTTGGTTCACAGGCCCGCGCTCAATCCACTGAGCTACACAAGCCAGGGCATTTTGTAGGTTTTATAATGGCCTGTATTAGTTTTGCAGTCAGGAAAAAAAAAAAAAGGTTAGGCAAAAACAGACAGGGCACGTGCACTTAACCAGAAAGACCTTCCGGGCTGGACCAGCCCCTCACCCTGGGTTCACTCTCCTGTTAGCAGCAAAACCCAGACTGCAGGTGACTTAGGAAGGGGACTCTTTCACTGAATCCCCACGACTCTGAGAGGGAAAATTCTAAAATGTCATTATACAAAGGCTGGGAGAAGGTGGGCATATTGGCTAAGGTCCCACAGCAAGCCAGTAAAATGGGACCCGGGATTCAATTCTACTATTTTGGCTACATTGTGCTCCCATTTATTACACATTCAACAAATATCTATCAACTGCGACTATTCCAGGAGCTGGAGATGCAGCGAAGAACATGACAAACTGTGGGCGTCTTGTGTGAGCTGGGAAGGGGAGGGGAGGGGAGGAGACAGACAGCAAACGAGCAGCCCACTGGGCAAGCATTTGACTCCAGGCCCTGAGTCCTCAGTGACAGGTCCTCGCTAACTCCTTCGGCCATTTTTTGCCACTCCCCAAAATGCCTCCTGTTACTCGAGTGAACCAGCTGGAAGCCCTTACTCTCCTGCCAGCCTTTAAATCCTGCCCTCTGGACCCCATCTCCTAAATACCTCTTGACTAAAGGGCCACTTCCTTCCACCCACTGCTGGCCTCCCTAGACCAGGGTTGTCAATCTTTTTCTTAAAGGGCCAGACTGTAAATATTTTAGACTTTGCAGCTAAAGATGCAACCTGGAGGATATTACATAGGCACATAACCATTTAAAATGCAATCATTTAAAAATGTAAAAACCACTCTTATCTTATGAGCTGTGCACAGACAAAAACAATCAGTGGGCTGGATCTGGCCCATGGGCCATGCCTGGGTAATCCTGATTAGATGGCACCTGTTCCCTGCCACTGGTCTATTCCCCACACCCAAACACAGTAGATTCCCCTGCAGCCACAGGGCCCTTGCACACACAGATTGGACCTTGTCACTCCCCTACCTGAAGCCCTCCTGGGGCTCCCCTTTGCCCCCAGGATAAGGGATAAGGTAAAACCTCCTACTCCTGGCACCAGTGGGCCCAGATCCTTTTCTCAGCTGTCCCCACTCTAGTCCTTCAGGCTCATGGTGGCTTTGACCTCTGTGCAGCGCCTGACATCCCCAGGCTCCCAGGCTGTGAGTCTGCAGGGCTGGGGATGGGCATAGCCAGTCAGACACAGTTCTGCTCACAAAGCTCATAGGAGAGACAAGCCCAGTATGAGGTCCCTTATCCCCTGTGATCTCTAGGCCACGGCCTGACTGGTTCTGCCCCACCCCTGCGCCCTTTGGCCAGGAACCAATGCTTAGAGTCTGTCCTGGGCACAGACCTCCCCAGCCAGGCGTCCCCCACAGCCTCCCGGCCCACTCCACCTCCCACACCCTCCGCCCTCTCCCCTCCCTCTGCCTCCTCCTCCTCTCCCAGTGTCAGTAGGAAGAGCCCGGGACTCGGCAACCTTTGACACAGAAGGAGGCACTTAGGACTCTACAACCTTGGGCATTCAAGGCCCTTAGTTTCTCTGCTCATCTGTGTAATGGGGATAACAAAGGATATTTAAAATGATCAACAACCTTTACGATGGAAGACGTAGATCAACATAAAGGATGCTAGGGGCAGGGGACCGAAGTGCCTGCTTTGCTGGGGGTCAATCCTTTAGCTGCAGAACTGTAAGGAGGTTCTGAGTGTGTGTATGTGTGCCACGGCTGTTGACCAAGCCGCACGGAGTATGTCCATATTTTAGCATCAGGAGAGCGATGTCTGTATACATGCTGAGCACCAGCCCTGGGGTAGCGGTTTCCACCCAGGAAATGGCCTCACTTCATTCACCTGGAGCCAGCAGGTGAATGAAGAATCCACAGACTACCAGTCGCTCTCTTTTCCCAGCCCTTAGTCCTGGGCCCTCCTCAAACACACATTCCCTTCAGCAGAGCTGAAGTTCGGGCAAGTGTGGCCTCCCAGCCTCAACAGAGATGTTCATTGTGGGGGTGGGGCAGGTAAGGGCCCCTCCCGTGTGACTGCAGCCTAGGAGCCAGGCCGGGTCTGTGCTGGGCAGAGCAAACATATCTCTTCATCCCACCCCGAAGCAGCCCTGCAAGGTCAGTACTGTTATTCCGGTGATGTAGATGATGAATGAAATAGAGGCCTGGAGAGGTCAGGCGTGGGGCCACCAAGGTCACACAACTGGCCAGTTGCCCAGCTGGAGTATGACCCAGGTTTGCCTGGTGCCCCGCTCACTCCCCAGTCCATGTTCAGCCTGTACTTTCTCTCCCCATTCTGTTCTTTTCCAGTTCCTCTTTCTTTCCCCATGCCTCCCCACCCCCTCAGTTTCTTCCTCTCTGGGAGGAAGAAAATTCATCCGTCTGAGCACCTAGGAGTCTCGCCCCCTGCGCCCTCCCACAATTGCTTAGATCCTTCCCACACCACAGGCAGTCTGAGGCCCATGCTCTGTCCTAGTACTGAAGTGGAGCCCACAGCCCAGGAAAGCTAAGTCACCTGCCCAAAGGTACAGGTGATGGCTTCCACCCTCCCTACCCCCACACCCGACCACGCCACCCCCCAAGCCCTCTCCGGGGACTCTGAGCACAGCAGAGACCCCTTGAGTACTGATGTCCTTCCACCATCAGTGCATCCTCTGCACCTCAAGCAGCAGGGGCCAACAGTCTCCCCAGTCCCCAAGTGCAACCAGCCTTACCCATGAGCAAGAAGCAGACTATCCACTGCAGGACCGCCAGGGTCTGCAGCCTGTGCTCCCACGGCACGAACAAGGGCGCGAACTTCACCATGCTGGCTCCTGTGTGGGCTCTGGAGGTTTCGCTGCGATCCAAGGCACCCAAAGGTTTTTGCTCCTGGCAGACGTTGTGTAAGCATTTGTAGGAGAGGAGGCTGCCCTGCCCAACCCTACGGCAAGGCCTCCCTGCCCCCACCCTGCAGGGACCTGCTTCCTAAGAGAAACCTTTGAATCCTCCAGCCCTGAGCTCAGCTAAAGGAGCAGGGAGAGCAGGAAGTGCACAGCCTTTATCCAGAGTGGTTAGTTGCCTCCTTAGGCAATACCTTATCTACAGGCCCACGTTTTCTGATCCTTGGAATCTTCCCTTTTATTTACCTGCTGAAACTCCAAATATAACTCAATCCTGTCCTCTTCCTGCCTACCCAATAATTGTTTCCTCTCTCTCCTACCATGCCCATAGCTATCCCTGGACAAATACGGAGTAATAGCTCCCATCTGAAAATCCTTTGGCCCCAGCAGCTAGTCTACCTCCTGCCTCATTTCACAACAAAACTCTCAGCAGTGCTGCCTGCCTCCCACGCCCTCACCTTGGATTCTGTCCTCAGCTACTCCACACCTCGGAGACCACTGTTCCACAGAACTGTCCTTGACAAGTTCTGCAGTGGCCTCTGTGGACAAAAAGGGGCCACATACAAACCTGACAAGCTCAGGGGAGGCCTGCATGACCAGCCTTACTGTCTCAGAGACCGAAGTAGCCACATAGGATGGTCTGAATTAAAACTTTCGAACTAAAAGCAGGTCATGGCAGGCAGTCCTGTTGGAGGCTAGAATCCTCCCTGACAAAAGTGGATCTTTACCTTAATTGAGCCTGTCTCTTGTCTCCTCGCATCCACCACGACACGCCTGGGGAATGCCGGATTTCCTCCCCCACCGGCTCCAAGGACAGGGGGAGCCCGCAAGTCCCTTCATTGTTGTCACATGTTCACTGTTGACTGTTAACTATCCTGTACCCACCCACCCACGGGAAAGAAATATGTGTCCATCATTTTACTTTTTATCCAATCCCAGAGGTTCCCCCACTTTACTTTTCCCCATCGCCCTAATCTATCACCAACAAATGCCACATAACCCACTTATGTTTTTTGTTTTGCTCATAATGTATAAAACTGCCATTTTCCAGAACATTTTCCCTATCCATTGAGGATTTGCTCAAATAAACTCATAAAAAATGTTACAGGTTTGGACATTTCTTACACTGACATTTACTTGGCGTACTTGGCAGGATTCCAAAGAAGCCCCCCACCCCCACCCCCCGGGCCACCCAGGTCTTGCAGACCCACAGACCATTGCTTGGTACTGATAGGGGGCTCAAGAATTGGCAAATTTTAGCTTCAGGTAAAAAGTTATAAGTCTAGGAGTAATGTGCATGTTAAAGCTTTTGTTTCAGAAACTACAGATAAGGCCCGTCCTGGCTGCTGGGAAAACAGCCGGCCTCCTGGGGCAGGCTAGAGATGTCTGCCTGGGGACAACTGGAGGCCTCCGGACCTTCGTGTTCCGGGGGAGACAGACAACCACAGCCCCTGGGAACAACTAACTGCCCAGGACAGGAATGTTGCAGTTTCTGAATCTCAGAGCCCTCACCTTGTTTATTCCCCCGTTATAAAAAGTCTGGCCTGGAAAGAAAAGACAAGATGGTCTGTTAGGGTATGAACCCACCATCTTCTCAGATCACGGGCCATCTGAATAAAGCGCCCATAGAGATTCAATCACTGTCATTGTTTATTGGGTTTTGTAGTGACAGGCAGCCTGAACGCTGGTGTCTTTTCCGGTTTCAGTACCACAGAGCCCCGGCTCCCTGTACCTCACCAACTCCTTGTTGTTCAAAGAGTGAACTTGGGTGAGTTTCCATGGGAATTCTGGGCCTCCCTGTTTGAAACTAAGAGGCCCTGATTTTATTTGAGCAATCCTTTTAAAAATAATTTCTGAAATCCTCACTCAAAGATATTTTCATTGATTTTAGGGAGGAAGGGAGAGGGGGAGAGAGAGAGAGAAAGAGAGACATCGATGTGAGAGAGAAACATTGATTGGTTGCCTTCTGTATGCGCCCTGACCCAGGATCAAACACACATCCTAAGTATGTGCCCTGACGGGGAATGGACCCCACGACCTTTTGGTGGTACGGGGCAATGCTTCAACAAACTGAACCACCTGGCCAGGGCTGAGCTGTCTTTTTAAATCTTCGCGAGGTGGAACTAAAAGTTAAGTGCTGAGAGAGAACCCAGGCTAAGGCAGGACTGGGGGGAAATGGGTGGCTGGTTTTTAACTTTGGCTTTTCAGTTGGCATTGCTTTCGGGGAGTCTGAACAAAAACCTAGGGTATTCTTAGGTGCTGAAGAATCTTCGTGGGGGGTGTCAGGGGGCACCCCACATGACGTGTAGGAGCCGCACAGGGTACTGAAACTCAACTGTAGTTAAACAGTCCACTAGTCCAGGCGTGCACGTAAAGGCTGTTTACCCAGTGCTCTGAGTCCTCACAGCTGTTTTAGACAACCGGGGAGAGAAACCAAGGAGTGTAAGAGGGTTGAGGGGTCTCCATGAGTGAGAGCCTCACGGGGCTGAACCCCTAAGCAGCACACTCAGACCCACCACACAGTATCTCTAGCAATGTGTGCAGTCTCTACAGATCCCAGCAGAAGTCTAAATTAACGTGGGAAATTGTGTCTCCCAGACCCCAGCCCTCATTCATACTCCTGGTAGGAAGCCTTGACTTGCAAGTGCTTTACTAAAATGGGAAGATTTCATTGGAAATGATATCAACTTAAACTGGCCAAAATGCAGTTTTCTTGTGGTATCTAAATTACTTCTTTTGCATGCAAAATTGGAAAATGCTGGTCCTAAAAGTAAATTGAGTGGGAAACATATATTGATTTGGAAATCAAAAGCTTTTAGGAGGAGCACAAATAAATTCTTTTTTGAAAAGTTAAAAATGAAATTTTAGAGACTTTCTCTGAACTAAAGAAGGCTTCTGAAGCTTATAAATGCCATCTCCTCATTCCTTCCCTTTCTATGGTTCCTCCATTATATTTGCTCTATGAGCTTCCTCATCCAGACTTGCCTTCCCCCTGCCTGCCTCCTTCCCCTGTATCTTCTCTACCACTCCCTACCACTCCCTACTGACCTGGGGAAATGAGAATAGGAATTCAAACAAGGATAATCCAGGAATTCCAGCAGCTCCCTTTGGAGAAAAGCTGGTCTCAGGCAGAGGAGAACCAGCAATCGTATACAACTGTTGGACCAGAACAGAATTAAGCAACCTCCCTAAAAATTTCGCCAATTTGCTCTGAGATGCTGATGGGTTCACAAAGGAATTTAACTTAACTGTTAGAATATGTGATCCTGGCCATTTGGACCTCTTCTAGTTAATAATATACCAATTGGTTACTGGGAGCTAAAGCAACAGAATTACTAAGTAGGGGTCATAGGAAAACCCTTACCAAGGATTCAGTTCACCTTAGGAAGGCTTATAGGAACGTGAAATGGGATTTAGAAAAAGAAAAGAAACAGAAGCGAGCACAGGGCTGCTCTGAAGACTGTGGAAAGGTGTTTCCCCTTCTCCTTACTAGTAGTTTAGGAGAAATGAAAATTACCATAAGAAAGGGAAATTACTAAGGCCCTTGGAAATACTGGGGCTACTTTATCTGTTCTTAATTACCTAAGTTGCCTCTTCACCCAGAGTAACCCTTCTGTGCAGATGGTAAAGATACCTAATCAGCCCATGTCTGCTTTGAAATCAGAACCTGCTCTCTCCCAACCAGGTGATGTTATGGAGCAACATACATTTCTGCTAGTCAAATCATCTGACAGGGCGAGATTTTATTGAAATCAATGATGCCCACATATCCTTTTTCCAGGAAGGTGTAATGCATTTAGAAATAAATAAATTGGATAGTGGATCAATTAGGAACATATGATTTTAAAGGAAATTCCACAAGAGGAAAATAATCTCAAGACCGAATGTTTGTGCAGAACATTCCAGTGCAACTTGAGGCCTTTGTCCAGTCCTGTGCAATATCCTATATGCACAAGCTGGACTTGAGGCCATTATGCAAGGCCACTTAAAAGGGGGATTTAGAATCCCATGCACAAGCCCCTGTAATTCTCCTATCCTTCCAGTAAAGAAACCCAATGGAAAAGAATGGAGATTTGTGCAGAATCTCACAACCACAAATAGAAGTTATTCCCAGACATCCCGTGGTTCCACACCATGTAACCTATTATCAGCTATTCCTGTGAGCTGCCAGTATTTTTCAGTAATAAATGTATGCCCTGCCTGTTCCAGTATTCCAGTAGAACCAGACAGAAACATGTCTTTGCTTTCACCTGGGAAGATTACAAGTTTACTTGAACAGTAATACCCCAGGGATATATGGAGAGTCCTACCTATTATCTTAGATACTAAAAGCTGGTTTAAGTAATATTATGTTTCCTAGAGATCCCACTCTAACTCAATATGAGGTAACTTAGTTTATGCTCTAGGAAATCACTAGACTCCCCAAAGGACACGACTTACCTAGCAGGACAGCTTGCTATGAAGGCACACAGGATGTCAAGGGACAGGCTCTCCTGTTTACCCCAGGTAACACACTTTGGTTGTCTAATAGCTAAATATAGGCTACTAGTTAACCCTGAAAAACTCAGAGGAATCTTATCTTTTCCTCTCCCAAAAGCAAAAAAAAAAAGCAGCTTCAAGGATTCCTGCGTTAGCCTGGATATTCCAGTTGGATGCCAAATTTTTTATTAATGGCCCAGCCTCCATATGTCTTATTGAAATCACTGAGTAAATTCAGTGAAATTCAGAAGGGAAACAAGCTGTAAAATCTCTAAAGAGTTATTTAAAGCCCCTCCTCTGGGGAGCTTCCGGGTCGGTGAACACGCGGAGAATCTGGGAGAGTAGGGCAGGGAGCATGGAAGCTCCGAGCCCTTTTCCCACATCCTAGACTGTGCATTTCTTCTATCTGGCTCTTCCTGAGCTACATCCTTTTATAATAAACCAATT